CGGTGCTTTTAACCGAATCTGTAACTGAAGTTTGTTACACTACATTTGCGCATTTTCAATAATGCTGAAAGATTTGCACACTCAAATTAATGTTCACATAAGTCTTTAAAATAAAGAAAACGTATGTCGCTGAACTTTTAAACATCTCTTTCTGACAAATCTAATGACCCGTCTCGGGTAAGTAATGGTTTTTCCTCAGAGCTTACTTTTAATGTACATCTCGTCACTACTTTGATTTTGACACTACTCAACCGTCATTTGTCATCTCTTTCATCTCATTTGTCAGTTATCATTCGTCATCTCATTTGTCAGTTATCAAGAATTTTTCCATTCAGTATATTCTCCGAAAACATGCGCTAACTCACTTCAGCGCTTCGCTTAGCTAAACGTTTTATTGGTGTTTTTTTTGCGAATGAGTCTTCCTCCACCTGCTCTTCGGATACATTCTTCATTGACGATTGCGTCTTTTCCGTCCGTCTATCTTTTATCGTAGACAGCGAAATCTCAAAGTTCTGTTCATTATTTTTGAAGAAATCAAGTATGAAAACAGTTGCGCTTAGAGATATTTTATTCAACACATGTGGCAATTTTTTTGAATGTCTATAATACTATCTTTTCATCCGTAATTCTTTTTCTTTTAGTTCAAGTAAGAGTTCACATGATCTGTTTTCGTTGTTTCCTTCCTGCAGCACTGTGATAACATAATGATGAATATATTGAATGCAATCAAATTTAGAACTATCCTACAATGATAACACAATTTGCTTCTTGCTTCTTGGATCGTTTAGGTATCAGTATCAATATTTGGAAGGAGAAGGATTATCATTCCACTGATTGGAAAAAACATACAATTTGGATGATATAATGCGCTAAAAGCATTAGTCAACCTGGCTAGTGTAATAGTTTCAATCCATATAAAGAGTCTTCCGGTAAATGCTGAATCTTTCTCATTCATAATATGGAAACAGTATGCGCCAACAGAATTATGCTGACAACCTACTCTTCGATTAGAGAATATGAAAAATAGTGATTGCTTTCCTTATATTTTTAATTTATATCTTGTCTTCAAGCCATCAAATAACTGTAACAGTGGCACGAACTACATACAGCTTATTTATTAAAATAAACGGTGCAAAAAAATTAGTAATATGGAATAAGAGGTTATTTCGAGATAATGCATGAAAAGTAGAATGTTCCTGATTTGGTTAATCCTCTTTTAAAAAACAACTAATCTTATCATGTTTAGGAATATTTGACCCAATGTGTACTAGTGATTGGATAGATTGTGACGAATCAAAGTGAGGGATTCTGACTTATTTTCGAAGTATAAAATGAAGCAATTCTTTTGTTGTCGTCGAATTCTTATCAGCCAAACTAGTGATCAAAGTGAAATGATCCTCACCCTGAATGACCTGGAAAGCCGAATATTCACCTTATTTAGAAGTAATCAAGATGAAGCCAATTGCTATCAAGAAATTAATAAAAATAAGCGATAAGTCTATTTGGTCACTGGACACCTTCCAGATTTTTCGGATGTTAGAATTGTCTTGATGTTTTAATAATTTTCTCGTTCCGGAAACTTTTTATCCTTAAATGACAATAATACCTTGTAACATTGTGACATATTCACGATATGGTGTTTCTCCACGTAATTCTGGATAATATTTTGGCTTTGCTCCTTGAACTTTGGAGATTCCTCAGCACCAATAACAATCAACAATTCTGCTGAGATTTCATCCAAGCTAACAATACTGAGAGCCTCAGCTTCAGCCATGCTTAAACTAAAATTTAATGTTAGTTCAACTAGAAATATTCCATTTTCTATAAAAGCAGAGGTTTATGAATACTGTCATTAAAAATGATCAAATAAAAGTTAATGAATGTTTTAAAAAAATTCGAGAAAATTAGCTGATCAAAAACATTTTGGTTTCATCTTGTGAAAATGAATTTTTAAATTTTAACTAGAATGCTACCAATACTTTCATAATATTATCATTCTTCTTTATCATAAAAGTAATTAGCTGAAAATGTCTTCAAAATTTAATTTTCATGAAATATAAACTTTACTTGATTGCTTCACCAATATAAGTACCCAACAGAGGATGAAGATCGTAGATGCCGGAGAAGAGTACAACTTTTTCGTATCGATGCGCATTCTTTATGCGCTTTAATGCTTCAATAATACTGGTATGAAGAAATTCTAGACAGCTAATTAATTTAAATAAATGAATGAAATTAAATAACTATCGCATTCGATCAGCAACTATTTCATTTTTTGAAGCAGACTTGTTAGATCCAACACCAAATATCAGTGATAATCATTATGTTTATAGACGGATAAAGGTAAATGAATGAAATATCTTGTTTGAATAGGAAATATTTCCCAATTTTTCATTTCTATTTGCAAAATTTTGTTATTTGGAGAAAGAAGCAATTTAAAACGAAGGTAATTACTTACCAGAAATGGCTAAATGTGCCCCGGCACTATGTCCTCCAACTGATAATCTCTTCCAAGGCCAACGCTTTGCTAAAAACTGTACGAAATACTGTAAGCAAAACCAAAGTATCCCTCCAGGTACTAAATGCAGATGCTAATTACCCTGCTAATTAATTTTTTTATTAGCGATGGCTAAATATTTTATCTAATATCTATTATATCTAATAATTTTTTTTATTAGCGATCAATAGATATCCGCAAATAACAATATCCATAGGATTCAATTATTTGATATGGTTAATTTCTACAAATGTGATTAACCTCTCCAAACAGATACAAATTTCTACTTACGTAAAGAGCTTTTGTCGCCTCTTCTATCACATCATTTAAAGAAATTGTCGTAGCAAAATCATATCCAACACATGCCACTATAATTCCTTCATCGGTAAGTGCTTTCACTGGGCTCGTAAATAATTTACGATCGCCTTCCTAGAAATTCACAGATTCTAATCTAATCTCTTCAAATCTTATTGTATCTATTCAAGAAGTATAATTTAAAGTACACTATAACAAACAAAATCTTTTTGCCAGAAGTTCTTATTTCTTCAATCGATACTTTTTTTGGATTAAAATTAATTGAAGAGAGCAATTTAACAAATTATTTCACCTGCCAGTAACCTCCATGAAATAGTACGATTGCTGCAATGCTCTCCATTTCATTTCCCCAAATATCGATTATTTGTTTGCCATCTGGAAATATAAGAGTAATTATCTTTTGAAGCAAATTGTATAATAGAAAACAGGAAATTAGAAAACTTTGAATGTTAGTTAAATAGGTTTCGATAACTAATATCATATGGATGGTGGGAGAGAAGGAAGGAGGTGGATGGGTAAAATTATGACCTCGAAAATGTAAATAGCTAAAAATAACTTGAACCTCCGTATGGAATCGCTTCTTGCACCGGAACGGTTTGTAAGTTTTCGTGGTAACAAGATCTCATAATGCTAATGAATGTTTCAATCACCTGGAATGCGAAAAGTTTATTTAAAAAGTAGTCCATTTGAAAAGCATTCCGCATTCCGAAAGGAAAATTTCAAAGCTAACCAAATCTGGTGATTTTGATGATGCCGACCAATGACTTGGCGAATATAAGCATTCCTGTTCGGTATATCGAACATCATGACAACACGACATGATTACTTAAAGATTATGTTTAGGCAGGAATTCATTTTGCCAATGATATGTCATTTTTTTTCTTCCGAAAAACAAGGAAATAAAAGATGTAAATTTAATTAATTTCATTGATGTCAAAGAAATTATATCTTCTACGGCTGAAGATGATGAAAAAGGAAGAGCGGATTTAAATGACAGATTTAAATTCATATCTTCTCTGAATTGACTTTTCACGGAAAATATTGATAAAAAATTTTCTATCTTTCAAGTATCATCAAATATAACTATAGAAATAGAATCATATCAACAGTAACGGAATCACATAGTAACAAACACGAAATTACAACAACAACATATAGCAACAACGGGTATAGAATCATATAATAACAGGTGCTGAATTACGTTAAGAAAATCATGCAGTAATCATATCATGTATAAAATTTGAAATATTATTTATGCTAAATATCATTTCGAATTGCGATACTAAAAACGAACATTGGATAACAGGGCTTTATTAATTTCGAACAAATTATTTCAAATGAAATAATTGTATTAAATTATATTCAAAAATACATAATTTTATAATCATTTCATTTTCAAATTAACGAAGTAATGGACTTAGAATTGTAAAAATGAATCATTCTCAAGTTGGAATGATAATAAATAGCCGTTATTCTCTTTTTAAAGCATTACGAAAAGGAACGTCAAATCTTTTTAATGAACATTTAACTTTTGATCAATGTTCTGTTTCGAAGATATTGCCTTGTTTTGCATATATTTCGGTTAATTCAAAAACAGATCAGAGTAAATGATATCTTTTAGATTATTGCAATCTTTCTTAGTTGACATATTTGTCGTATTTGTAGAAAATGATATGAAGAAGTGGAAATTCTTGACATGTTACATTTTTGATATATTTCCACTTTTTCCGAAGTAGCAAAACTTTGCTGACATTTTTTTCAATCCTTAATATTTCTCATCAAGTATTCCTTGGAGATAAGACCAATTACTTGTTGCGATGCTACTTATTATTTACCTGAGGTGATATGAAAGCGCAATGACTGCAAGTAATACTCCTTTCGAGGATATTATATGCTCAACGCTACATATCAACGATTTTTATCAATCTCTTCTGTGATTAGATGAGATTATGATTCAGAATATACGTCTGAGTTTTTGTTTATTTTATCCTTGCATTTCTTTATCTAATTTAATTCGAAGTTAAAAAGTTCATTTCATTCATGTGTCCATTTAAAAAAATTGATCGGAATTAAAATTTTGTTGAAAATTTAAATTATAGAATGAAATATGAAAGGATTTATTTTTATGGTATTTTGCTGAAATAAGATAGTATTGCAGTGAGGAAGATTTCCGATGCTTTTACAGTATATTGATATTGGAGAAATTCAGGAAAATAATACAAGATTATCATAAGAATATTATCAGGTAGAGGTAAAGATCGGTTTAGATACAGTTTATCAGTTTATTTAAAAACTGTACATAGAGTTCCGAATTTTGGAAATAGTAAAGATGATACTTTAAACAAAAATGCCAGACGTCTACAAATGAATAATTCAATTTAAACAAACAAAGAATATGTGAATTTTTTTCTTCGTAAAAAAAAATGATAAGTATGATAAGTTGGATAGGATAAGTTGAACGATAAGTATTTCATGAATTAAAAAAGAACTAAATTCGAAGGAATATTCAGTATTTCTCAGGCGCAAATTTGTGTTAATAACGAATGCTGAAACGGAATAAGTTTCGCAACATCTTAATAAATTCACTCGGTGTTTCTGCAACGTCGTAATACAACTCAGCAACGAGGTTTTTTATTTTCATTTAAGGGAATAACTAACGTAATCCATAGCAGAGCAAAGTTAATTAGCGACATATCAAATATAGTTTGGAAGTTGACAGTAATAAAATATCTTTTTTGGAAGAACTACACAGACAATAACATTTACTGATTATTTGAAGTTAATTAGCTAATTGGTATTCGATGCTTTGATGATTAGCATTTTATGAATATATATATGTATATATATATATATATCTCTCGGAGAATAGATCGTGATCTCCAAAGATCAGTAATAAGAATAATAAGATCACATATAGAGAAGAGTATAACCAGAAGTATTCAGGAAGTGAGCAAAATACTTCTCAATTGAAAATTTACAAAAAATCTAAATGACTAGATAATAATACTTAACGAAGAAATATTAGCACTTCAAACTTTCTGTATTAAATATTATCTGAATGTATCATATCAGTATTACTGTTGAATAGTTACGATATTTGTATCAATAAAAAATCAATAAAATATAAACAAAATAAAAGCAATCATTAAGAACTAATTGAGATATTTGTGAATTCTCAAACATAAAAAAATCTACTATGATCAATTCTATAATTTGTTTATGCGAAATATTATTGCAATTAATAAATGATCTTTTTGTTGTAGTTGTCAGTTAATACTACTTACTGGTAGATCTCCCTGGCAAATATCTATTATAAGCGCCATTGTCGCAATTATTTCATATTATCCATTCATTTCTTCTTTTAAAGCGATAGCTGACGAATGATTAGATTATTCATATTTAATATAAGGTTAATTTATGAATTGAATTTAGTCAGGATTTGATAATAATTTATAGATTCAGTGAATCATTAGATTTTTCTCGAGTTTCATTCAATAAGATAGGAAAAATTAGAAATTTCTACACAACTTAAGAGCAATAAAGAATATTTATCATAAAAGTTAAAATAGAGTTCGTTCATTCCTGTTTAATTTAAATCATAATTCTTCTGACTGTTTCCAAATATTTATATATTATCTATTCCGAAAGTAGATTTCTAATTGATAGAATCATTAAGAATTCTTTAATTTAAATTCTTCATTATATTTGAAAAGGTATAAGTTAAGATTTACTGTATTCATTCTTTGTTCTTATTTTTTGCAAGCATTCTGACGAAATAAATTGATCTTATCAAATATTATCAGATTGTGCTTTTCCATTGGCATAATTTTTGGAAATTTAATTTCATTAAAGTTATAGCTTAATTATTGTTTATTAAAATTGTTAAATTGTTATGTTTCACATTAGGAATAGCCAAAGGATAAAATTTGCCATGTGATTGAATAATTTTCAATGTCACATTCGTTAATTAAACAGTTGTAAAATTTAAGAAAATGAAGCAAACTGATAGTATCACGATATCATCGCCATATAAATCATCACCAGAAGCGGTTATTCCTTTTCATTTTTTTCTACAAGATAAGTTAAACTTTTTTCAAATTTTAAAAGTTCAGAAATATACTTTGTTATATTATGTAATTTTCCATTTGTCCAATTAGTACAACAATCCGAAATCGATTAAAACAGTCATTTAAGAGAATTAAAAGACAAGATGAATCACCAACAAGGATAGTATTATCAGAAGTGAGGCTAAATATGGATCGTGTAAGTAGAAAAAATTGTAGATAGTTACGATTCGCTTTTAATATTTTTATGGAGAGTTTTTGCTGATTAGTCGATTGTCCTACATAGATATTTTCTTTATTATCATACGGCTATCACTGGTTATTTCAACGGTCATTTTCATTGACTAACTTATCTAATTATGTTTATTATAAATTATTATAATTTATGTTTATTATGATTATTATAACAGTAGCTTTTAATGATAGCTTAGTTCAGTCAATATTTTGATTTGCTCGAATTATTTGCACCCGTTGTCCTATGACTCATAAGAAAAATTATTTAACTGGTTTGTCAGTTGGCCCTTTTTCTTGTTTAAAAAATTATTTAATTCTTTCTTACTACATAAGATGAATAACATGAAAGTATACCCGACGAAATATATACAGAAGCATCCTGGCTATTCTTGATTGTTCAACAATTGGTTTCCTAATTGATATTTCCTGCAAAAAAAATTGCTGTCAGTGATTTATTGATGCTCGAAATTGATATGTTAATTTGAGATTAAATTCGTTTTTCGGATCAGATGTTTATTTTCAGCCTTGTGGAAGCCTCGCCGTTCGAACAAGTGATGTCCAGAGCGATGTGATCGAAAAACCGGAAAAGCCGGATGAACATGAAGTAAGATTTTATGAAACAATCGATTATCGAAGAAAATGGATTATTGCTAATTTTTTTCTTATTCTTTCAAAGCAATATTTATTAAATTAGTAAATTATTTGATTAATTTTTTTAGAATGTTTCTACAGAAAAGAAAGAACAGCAAGTTAAATCGTGTGAAACCAATATGGATCGTAGTAATCTACGTGACGTTACACCGATACGACGAAGAACGGTACGTGTCTTTTATTACAACGAGAATTTTAATAAATATGTTACTTGATCTTCATAATACTATAATTTGGAAGAATATTGAAGGATATGGAAGAGTACCGCCGAAGCGACAAGAAAGATTTATTGGGCGAAATGAGAAAAGTGATCAATGCTAATCATCCTACGCGGAAAGCTAGAAGGAGAAAAGTTTTTCAAACAGATGGTAGATGAAAGAAATTTACCTTCACATGAAGCTTGACTTTATCATATCTACATTATTCTTAATTTAACCTATCATAACTAAAAAAAAATTTTCGACATGCTTCGTTATTTAAATTTAACAATAAATTTTGAACTTTAGAAAATGCAAAATATACCGTTCAAAGAGAAAGCGATTGTCAAGGTTGCAAATTTGTGGAGTTTGAGTTAAAGATTCTTACAGAAAAGGTTGCCATCATTCAACTTACTGATAATATTTCTCTTCATCGTTATCAACATATTTATAACATTTTTCTTATCATTACAATCATTTAGATGAAAGAATTAGAAAGAAAAGTGAAACCAAGATTAAAAATAAAGATACTTGGCAATGAAAGTTTCTTGAAAAAGGTATGATGATACTAACCATTGAGTAATTTTTCCATCTAAAATTTGTAACTAATTGAAATCAAAAAAAAGGTAAGAGCATTTTTATTGCCTATCTGTCAACAACGTATAAAATATTTGCTGTAAATCTTTCGTTATCTTTTTCAAACTGTTGTTAATATTCTAAAAAAGAGTTAAGAATGAAATGAGGTCAGAGATTGTTCAGATTAAAGTGATTACTTAAGTGACAATTGAAAATTGACAGTTTCGAAATATCGATGATATATTAATTGGAATTTACGGCAAAACTTGTAAAACTATAATTTGTTGTATTTTTCTTTTTTCTGAGAAGAGGGCGTAAAGTAAAACTATAAATTATGTTTGATAGGTGGAAGTGTCGCAAGTTTTGAAGTAGTAATAATGTAAAAGATTGAGCATTTATTACAGGAAGATTTGGAAATCCGAATTAGAGAGTTTCAAAATGAAATGATAGTTCAGAAAAGTTACTATCAAAAAGAATTGGAAGAAAGTTGTAATGAAAAAGAACGATTAAAAATGGAAGTAAGCAATTACTTTCGCTTGAAATGCTTATTTTCATTGTTTTAAATTGAATTAAAATTTCTGAAAATTCAATTCATATAAGTTGAAATTGCATAATTCATTTAATTAAATTATAGCTGATGAAAGTCGATGAGAAAATTAGTATCTTGGAAAAAGAAACAGAAAAGGTTAAAAAATCCAATAATCAATACCTATCCATTATACAGGTAAATTTTCAATAAAGAAGAATTTAATTTATAAAAAAATTCGGGACGATACAATTAGTTGCAAAAAATAGATCATAGTTCAATAGTTCAATTTATCATAAAAATTATAGTTCAATTTAAATTTGTTCAAAATATTCATTGATAAGTGAATGGATGAATGAAAAGTTTTGTTCGCTTCCGACATATATTCGTCTAATAGAATTTTATTTTTAATTTCAAATTAAATAACACAAATATATCTAAGTGTGATATTCAATTTTGAATATTCAATTTTAGGTTATGCGAGAAAACTCCGCAGAATATTTTCAAGATCAAAAAAATCTGTTAGAAATGAATCGATTAGCAAAAGCGCAATTGTATCAATCGAATGAATTGATGGCAAAACAATATGAAATAATGCTTAAGAAAGCATGTGATGATAATTTGAAACTTTACATTCATCTTAAGAAGATTGAGAAAATTTTTGAAGATGAAAATGTTCAAATGTTACGATCAAAAGTGTTCCGTCGACAAATGCAGAAAAAATTGAATGTATTATTGGGAAAGTTTAGAAATGAAATAAATAGTTCAAATATGAAATGGTTAGGTGAAGAAAATATACGTCATGCTGCAGATAATTTTGAAGCAATAATAGAAACAATTTTAAATGATAAGCCATCATTTCATTTCTTAGTTGATCGACTTACAATTTTCATCAAGGAACAAATTCTTAATGAGGTTTGTTTTATTATTATTATTATTATCGTTATTATTATTATTATTAATTTTGAGAAGAATATTATAAAAGTACTTCAATTATCAAAAATAATGCAAAAAGATTTGATTGAAAATGTAAATTTAAATAAAAAGATAATATGATGAAAAATATTTCAGCACTTTAAATTATCCGAGAGTGGTAGTAGTAAGAAAGAATTGATCAAAAGCCAAGGATCAGAAGCATTCGTGGTATCTGTTATATTTTTCATATGCAATATTAATTTTACTTTTGTCAGTAAATCGTTCTTGCCATTAAAAAACGGAAATCTAATTTCATAATTCTACCATAATGTAAAGGCAATAGGAGAGAATTATTGCATTTAATTAGGAAATATTGCAAATTTGTCGAATACAAACGGATTACAAACAATATTGATGGATAAGCAAAGATTACAATATGATATGATATTATCAACGAAAATGTGATATGATATGATGAAACTATGAATTAATTATGTCTATCGTATCAAATACAATTTTAGATCATTTCAGATGTTTAAGAGAAAATTCCGCGAACGGATTTGCTCAATGTTGGAAAGGTTTGCAGAAAGACAGAAGAACGAATTTTCCAAAAACATTTCGATGGTATTAAACCACCTGAATGATGCTGATGAAGTACTGATTTATAGTGTTTAGCAGTAATATATTTCATTTATTTGCTATAATCTAAATTTCATCTCGTACCTGTCATACTTATTAATTAAAAAAGAGGAAGCACTAAGTTCAAATTAAATCCATTCAAAAGTAATGATTTAGGAGCGATTTTTTTTCAGAGAATTGATACCAGTTTAACGAATCGTGTTGAAAATATGGGTGATATTATTGCCGTTATTGATTGTAAACAAAATGATCTCCGGCAGATTGAAGAAATATTGGATTATAATAATGCGATGGTGAAGACATTCTCTGATCGAAGAAATATTACAGTGGAAATGACAAGTGATTCACTGAATTTTGATAATCAAAAGCGTAAGCTGAGGGAAACGTGTGTCTATCTTACCGATGGATATGTGGTATTCTTCTACGAGCATTTCTTCAATTTCCTATTTCCTGATCGCTTGCAAATAGGCATGCAAATATACAAATAGGCTTGCAAATATAGTATATCTGATCGATTGGAAGTAGAATTATAGGTATATCAGAATATGCATGTTTCATTAATATCCCATTTACGCTTATCATATTACAGATCTGATTTCAGAAGCTTAAAAAACAAGTGGAAAATCTGGAGAAAATGCATAAACAACTTTTGTTGACTTCCAGACTGCGGATGAATCAAAGTGTGAGTATGCGTGTTTCAGATGATGATTGGAATAAGGAAGTGATGCAAAAGTTTCGTCCTGCACCATCATATGTCGGAAAATTATCGCTTTTTTTTCCTCCTACAGCTTCATAATTTGCTAAGAAAATCTAATGGATATTCTCAACTGATCAGAAAACTCTTCTATTTGTTCAGAATTTGAAAGAAAGCACGGAACGGAAATCTTTCAAATTCTGAGATGATTTTGAGCTTTTATTCTATAAGTGGAAATCTCATTGATTTGTTCATTGATATGATTTCAGGAAAGAGGAGAATTTAGTGGAAGAACTGCTCGTCATGAGTAACAGATGGAATATGCAAGGTATGCGGAACGAGTGAAAACTTGATATTTTTGTATTTTGAAATATCTGAGGTTTTGCATAGTGACTTTTTTAATTTGCACAAATATGCCGCATTTTTTATTAAATAAAAGTTGTCGGCTATTTTAATTGATAAGATATTGTTATCACCATATCAAATTTGTCTTTAAAAATTTATCATTGTTTTATTGTTTCAGCCGAAACAAAGCAACAGTTGTAAATTCAAAAATTCAAATTCTAATGAACGAAACATTTGAATTCGTTTGAAATCAATTTCACAAAAGTACATTTCAATTTGCTATCTTGGTTTCTAAAATGAATTTGTTTACCTGTAATATAAATTTAGATAGTCCCATCAAACTCTCAATTAAATAGGCGAAATGAAACAAATTGAAGATCCTATTTCTATTGAAAACTAACTTCTAAATGTTTTCTTATTTACTTTGCCAACTTCAATTCCTTCATTTTATGCTATTATCACCGATCGGTTGTGTGTTGCATGATTTGATCTCTCCTCCATTCATCCTTAAAAGCGCTTGATATTATCATTTATCTCTTATCTTTATCCATTTCTGTGACAGTTTAGTTTCATCGTAGAAAAAAAGAGAGATGAAATCATTGGATAAAACTTTTTCCTTTTTTTGGATAGCTGCAATTAATATGAAACTTTCTTATCTGTTCATAATTGATGCATTATCTTTTTCATCTTACTATTGTTTGTTGATTGAGGGGATATCTAAAATTGCAGGTTTCAAATGTATGTCATGTCCGCGAGGACTATTGCGCTTATGCTTGAAGTTTGATGTTTATTTTTTATTTTCTTTGATGTATATTATCGAATAAAAAAAAATTTCATTTTAGATTTTGACACGATGTGCAATAACCGTTGAAATTTTCTTTTCATATTTTGCGTTATGGTAATTGAGACAAACAAATAAAGGTATTGTCGCATGACAAACTTTTCCATATTTATAACTACAAGCTATTTCATAAATTTAATATTTTGAATGAAATAAAGGATGAAATTTATAAATGGATTTATTAAGCTGGAAATTTAGGAATAAATTAAGGGTGTATGATTTTGAATAAAGTTTAATCAATGAAGCAATAAAAAGTTTATCCAAGTTTAGTACGAGATAAACTTATTACTTTATTGTTAAATAAATTTAATCCAAACAATCAAAATTAAAACACCGAAATTTTATTTATCGGCTTTTAATCTATGAAATGAAATAGTAATGCAAATATCGCTAAAAATTAGAAAAATGTTACTATGGCTATACATGCTAAAATAAAGTTGTGATTGCCATATCTATGTTGCATACATATAATAAACAAATATTCGAATTGTTTATAAATTCAATCAAAATTTGCTAAATAATTTTTGCTTTTGTTTTAATTAATTTGTTAAATTGGTAATAAAAATTTAAAACGAAAAAAAACTTTAATGTATGAAATTATAATAAATACTAATAAGCGAATCAAATTGCTATGTTTATTTGGGCGCAATTGACGGAGCTATTCGATATTGTCAACGAATTTTTATTGTTTTCAAATAATTCAATCAATCGATTTGCAGATCAGAAGGGTTTTTTGCATGAAAGAATGAATGTAAAAGAGCGGAAAATATCTAAATCAATTCTGCACTACAAATTATTGCATGTTATGGAAATATTTATATATTTCCTACATTTTTACAACGCTTTTCATTATTCGTTCAATCCTCATTAAGCTTTATACTCTTTACATTTTTTTTGATTTGAATTCAATGATAGGATTAGTGAGGATCATTGTAACACATGAAGTGAAAGCTAAAGAACATTTTTATTCAATATCCTCACTAATAATCGATTTTATAATCGATTTTATTCAATATCATCATCGTAAAGATAGTGATCAGTAAAATCTTTGATCGATTCTTGATCAATCTATGAATGGCGGTATGTCAGAGTATGAGTTCAAGAGAAGCATGGATTCATGTCGAACAAATTCTACTATCAGTATTTTATTTGCTATTGTAAGAAACTAGTTTCATTTTATTCTTCTGTCAGGAAAAAGTTTTTTTCTTCGTTACTACGACATTTATATATTTCGATTTTCATTACTCATCACTTCGAAATTTCAATCTTCATCAGTTTTTTCTCAAATTTTCATTTACTCATTAATTTAATTAAGATTGACGGCATTGTCATACCTAAGTTGTGATAGAAAAGTAGCAAAGGTAAAGAGTTGGACGTTTCAAAGGTTGAATAAAACCGCCTCTGAATAGCTTTTTCTAATATTTGCTAATAGTATCTTACAGTATGCCCATCACAGATACTTTTTTCGAAGTTATCAGAAACGTTTGGCTAAAAATGTTAACAGAAAACGATCGCTTCAGCTTGGATCCCAACCATACTTTTAAAATGTGAGAAGAATTTTGTAAAAAATATTATTGCAATATCGTTTAGAATACAATTGACCGGATATGCTGAAATATGTTTTCTTCTACCATAACTATGAATTGATCTGTAAATTTCATTTGTTACTTATTTAAGGTTAGTTCAAAGTTCATTCATTTTTAAAATAAGAGTATACTGTAAATTCCCTAACTCTTCAGGTTGCAATGGTTTGGCTGAAAGAAAATTTCATAAATATAATCTAATAATTTAATCTTTTACTTCAAATCTTCATTTGGCCTCTTCGCCATTTGCATCTTATCACTTGCTATCATCGAGATTCCATTTTGCATTGCGTTTCTCACTCGTTTCCATTTCATCGGTGGCGAATAGGATTGTAAGAAGGAGTGAGAATTCGGCGTGAATGGGTGGTGATGAAGAGGCTGACTGATCGAGGGTGCGCGGATTCGCCGGATGTGTTAATAAATTACGTCAATTAAAGAATCTTCATGTCCTACAATTTACGTTTCTTGTAAGGCATGTTTGTGATTGATTTATTTCTTCTCAGATATATCGAATTGTTGGAGATATGTGAAACGAGAAGTTTCCTTTCTGGCTTAAGGAACAGATTCTAGTTTCCTTTCTGGCTTAAGGAACAGATTCTATGGTAAAAAACAGTGATCGTTTGCGTAAATTGGCTGTCGGTATTGGAATTGCGCTATGTGGTTCAGCTATTGCTGTTCTGTACGATCATGAACGATTCTTTCAGCTTGGACCTTTTCGTGTTGTTCGTGCGGGTGTCACGGTATAATAATACCACATATTTTCTTCATTTGTTAAAAGCGATTTATTTTTCAATGAAAAGTGCTGGTATTTCATTTTTTTATTGTTAAATTAGTTACTGATTATTAAGATGGCTGCTATGATCTGATATTGATCTATGATCTTTTCCAATCGTTTCCAGGTATTTTGCATTGTAACCGATTATAAATGGACTATGTGGACTTGTCCGAATACGGACATATTGTATCACCAGAAATTGAGTGCAACACATGTCAGAAGTGCTCGAAAACTCCTTAAATTAGCTGAGAACAATGGTGGTGTCTATATCAAAGTAAGATTATGTTTAATAAACATCAACATTTTGAGGTAACGTTTTCTAGGCATTGGTAACAATGTGAAGCGTATCTGACACTCATCGAGACTTAACATTATAATTACTTATTTATCGATATATTATTTGGTAGTCAGAAGTTTTTTCTTTGATCTTCAAGATTTGAAGAATATCATATCTATGTTCAGGTTGGACAACATTTGGCCTCTCTCGAATATCTTCTTCCGGTTGAGTACACGGATGCTTTATGTGTTTTGCATTCAAAAGCACCCGAAAGTAAGCTGATCGAAGTACGGCGAGTTCTAGAAGAAGATCTGAATGCCAAGGTGGTTAATGTGATTAAGATCTGAAAAGTTGTATTATACGTTTTTAATATTCTTTCTACAGTTTTAAAGGAGTCAAAATCTGGATCGTGTTCTAGATAATGACAAAAATTTTTGCTTTTCGTTACATGTATATTTGCACCTGTCACTTATTCACTTGTTATTCGTATAGCTTTTGCTCAATAATGTAGATAAGATCACATTGAGTACCCAATAAAATTGTACATATAGTTATGTTTAGACAGTTTGTTCTTTTCAGGTTGAGGATATATTCGTGGGATTTAATGAAACTCCGGAAGGTTCTGCATCTCTTGCACAGGTGTACCGAGCAGTTTTAAGGAAAAACAACGAGGAAGTTGCTGTAAAAGTACAACATATCCATGTGAAGCCAAGGAGTTGGGCTGATATTAAGACGATTGAGGTATGATCTTTTTGTTAGATAAAGAGTGTATGTTGTAGTTCTACTTGTGAACAAGTGAAAATAGCATTGAATATTGAATGATCTTGGTGACAAAAGATGAGTCTAGCTATTTTTTTCTAGATACTTGTAAATACTTTAGTAATTAATGAATGCCAAAAGAGACTGGATAAAGATTTAGATGATCAAAACAAGAAAATCTTTCTTTTTAGACCTTAACCAGATTAGCATCAAGGCTCTTTCCCGACTTTCATTTTATGTGGCTGGTGGACGAAATGAAACGAAATTTGCCAATGGAATTGGATTTTAGGGTTGAAGCGGCAAATGCGAAAAAGTTAGAGGAAATGTTTTCACACCTTGACTATCTAAAGGTAATTTTTTTAGTGTGAAATTTATTCTAAACATGGATGGATGTAAGATGTACATAGATAGAATGATGTGCTTGGTAGTTGAATTTAGTTCACTTATATCGTTTTCATGACTGTAGTAAGTATAAGAGGGGATTATTTTATTTCTCTGCATTATAAAGTGATGAAATGAGCTGCCTTTTCATTTCATTTATTATGAAGCAATAATGTTGGGTAGTGCTCCTAAATATAAACGATATAAGCAAAGGATTGAATTGCATAATTGCAGATTCCAAAGATATACGACGAATATACGACAGAACGTGTTCTCGTTATGGAATATTGCGATGGTGCCCAAATAAATGATTATAATTATTTTATTCAAAACAATATAAATCCCTATGATGTAAGTATTTCAATACCAAAGACTTTCATGATTTTGATTGTTTAATGCTGGTTTTAGATCCAGATATTTCACTGTTTCGTATTACTCAGTTACGACCGTATTTATGACTTCTCGTCGTTAAAATATCTTCATTTTTATATTCTTAATTCTTCAGTTTGCAACCGTAGGGTATAGTTAATTGAAAGTGTTGTTGTTTCATTTTTTTTCAGATCAATGTGAATAGAACTTATTACTCTGTTTGATGATCAAATTGGAATTCATTAAGTGAATATGTTTTACTATAGGTTTGTCGTAAACTGGGTGCACTATTTAGTGAAATGATCTTTATTAATGGTTATGTCCATTGCGATCCACATCCTGGCAATGTTTTGGTGAGCAAAGCGAAGGATGGACGTGTTTCGATCATTCTTTTAGATCATGGGCTTTATTTGGTAGGCCTTTGCATTTGTGGTCTACATATGAAATTTGAATACTACCTCTAGTTTGTGCAGAGATTACTGATTTGGATTTAGAATATTCGGGAATTGAAAAAGTGAAATGGAATGCAAGTGAAATGAATGAATTGTGTGAATATATGCAATATTTTCGAGAATTTTATTGTCACTGTTGTGTTTTCATAGTTTATAATTTGAAGTTGTTTACAAATCTGCAAAGAATTCAGGGTTTACTACTTTACCTTGATTCAAATATTGCAGACATTGGGATCTGATTTTCGGATAAAATATTCGAAATTATGGCTAGCACTATTGGAATCCAATTTGAATGAAGTTAAAGTTCGTTTATTTCACTTTGTAGTAAATTTTGAATGTTTAGATCTGAAATTTTAATTTTTTCCTATAATTTTTAGAAATGTGCGCAGTCAATGGGTGTGGGTGAGCTTTATGGTCTTTTTGCCTGCATGGTAACAAATAGATCATGGGATGCAATTAGCCATGGAATTGACAAATCAGCTGCTACATATGAGGAAGCAAGTTAAATTTTTCTTTTGTCAAATTACAACGTATGTAGATGTATATTTTCGAAGTATAGAGCAGTTTGGTTTTAATGATTATATAAAAATAGTTACCGCGAAGAATATAGAGCAAAAGCGATATCTGGTGCAATATGCAGTATGAAGACAGGCCTTTTGCATTAGACCAAAGAGTCGTCACATTTTAATGTATATATACCTTGTTCACCTTTATTGAAAATATTCAAAGAATTATAGCAACGAGAAATCAAGTCATATGCTGCTACCTTGATACCCGAAATTTCACAAGTTTTGGAACGAATGCCACGCTCAATGCTATTAATTTTGAAAACAAATGATCTGTTGAGAAGTATAGAATATCGATTGGGGACGCAAGGACGAGCTGATGCGTTCGTTCAAGTACTGATTTAATAATTTTATTTATTGCGAAAAATGATTGAAAAGATTCCTTATTTTGATAGGAAGCAATTGAAATCTAGATAAAACGCCAAATTTCAGTGAATAAGACTGATTTTATGAGATATTTTTTTGTCATAGACAAGTGAACAAACATAATTTGTCTAAGAGGTATATTAAAGGGATATCGAAGAGATATGAAATGACAGTCAGTTACAGCAAGAGATCATATTCGTTTTCAGATGGCTCGTTGCTGTATTCGATCAGTTCATCAACATTCTGCTGAGCAGACGAATTCGTTGCTGATAAAAATATGCGTTTATGTGCGCATGTATATTACATTATTCAAAATAACCGTTTTTGAGTATTATTTGCTATTTATGAATCCATTTTGTGCCAAACCTATCAAATAATATGTGCCTATATGAGCGATTTTTGTTTAATTTTTCAGGAATTTTCGATTTTTTGCAGTATGCCGTCTTCTTGCATATATAACTTTTTTTTCACCTTTGTGTTATGCATACTTTGTTCACCTTTATTGAAAATATTTCTTTTCTTTTTTGCAAGAACAGATCTAAAATGAATGATGCATGCTTGTACGCTAATTCTTTGAATTCACTAAATCTGACTTCAATTTTCTCTCATTCATTATCCAACATAATCCCTTTTCATTCATCTTTCTACTTTAATACACTCGTCGAAATTTTATCCAGCTTTATTGTCGGTACCTCAATAGTTCATCGAAAGAACAATTCATCTTTCAGTCGCTTTACACATTGGTGTGCTACAACTGTTTTTTTCTTTCTGATTTTTTTGATTTGAAATTAATAAAAATGGAGTATTTTTGAATTTATGATGGTCATGGATTAGGAAAATAGTTACTTCATCATTCGGACAAGGAATTAAGGAGACATATTGAATTGAGAAAAATTCTCAATCAGAAATATTATAAACTTAATTCACATCAATATTCAATTAAATACGATTGAAGGTTAAATTTATTTTGGTATCAAAATATTCGAAATATCGGGTAACTCTAAGGGGTGTGTTCTATTGTGGTATTGGCTTCAATTGAGCGTAAAACTCGAAGAAGGTTGGCGGTGATAGCGGTATATCAGTTTGATGGATTTCTGTTAATCGCTCGTTCAGCGAAATATGTGGAGTAGATTTTTTAATGTTTCATTAATTGGGAAGGATATTGTAAAGTGGCCGTGACGCTTCGTCGTGATATTGTTCGTTTAAGATATATAGGAGTTTTCCTTTTTTTAGAGCGGAAACAGTGACATAAAGAGAGAGTGTTTTTTTTGAAAGATTAGATATTCGAGGAACTCACTAGGCAACTAAACAACTAAAGAGGATTATCCGCAGGAGCTGGGAAAAGATTTCGAAAGTTATCGCAAATGTGGTAGGTAGTTTCATGAAAGTAGAAGAAGATAGCATAGTATATTTTGTGATTAATTGTCTTCATGGCTATTTTTATAAATTTTGAGCAATAAGAAAGGTGTATGCAAGGATAAGCTGGAAAGTAAGGAAATCAAGTATTTGTTATCTTTTACATCTTTTACAGGTTTTGCAGATTCTGGTAATGGCACCAAGACTTGTGCGTTACCGTTCCGTAATACCGGCGGTTGATCAAGAACGAATTAAGGGTAACTACAGCTGGGGTACATTTTTGGGAGGCCTGTTAAGGACACTTAGTCGTTCTGGTGATGTTCGCTCACGCTGTCCTGAATACATTGTTCCGGTAGAAAGCTTTCATGAAGCACCGTTAATTGAATATATGAAGGATATTGATACAAACGTTGAGGTACGTTTTGATTTTTAATCGCTTAATAAATTTAAATTGTCATATCTATGGAAATCTCCTATATCTTTGTTGTTTTTATAGTTGAAATGAGGTAATCATCATGGTAATGCAAATAAAACTTCTGCTGATCGTAGCTGCCAGTCCAAGCTGCAATTGTTTTTTTTTCAAAATCGAACGAGATATGTTAAGATTTCGAATATTTAAAAAAATTCAGAAAATACTGATTGTATTTCTTTTTCAACAATTGAAATTAACCTTCAAATATAAATTTTCATCGTAAGCATCTCATCAATATATTGTCATTATTGCTATTATTCTTTTTAGTTTGAGGTAGCATTACTCGATGATTATGGCTTTAAGTCTGGACCGATAAAGTTGTATTGGTTTGCTCGAGTGGTGAAAGTTAGTGATATTTTAGCCAAAAATTCATAATAAAATAGAAATTTAAAAGATATTCTTTTCAAGCTTTTTTCTATTGTCTTTTTTGGGATGATGACATAATTTCAGATTATGGGTTATCGTTTATTACTTCGATTTGAGGGAATGGATGAAAAAGGTGATAATACATATGATTTTTGGGTCAATATTAGTTCACAAGATCTTAAACCTATCGGTAAATTATGTTACGTTTTTTTTGTGTTTTCTTTTTATTCATTGTTTAATTATTTAATTCAAATCGTACATAAATTCTTGTCTCAATTGATTAGTTTTTATTTCCTTTTTTTCGTCAAGTTTTTTAAATTTACTAATCTTACCGATTTTTTTTAAAAATTCAGTGGGTTAACATATTATTGACACTGTGATGTGCGGCTATCGCATCTGTAGAATAATTCACGATTTGTCCATCTTATGTTTAGATCAATAAACAAGTAATGTTTCAAAGTAAGTATTCAAACCCGTGACCTCTGTGTATAAATATTTCGAGTTTTTATTTCTAAATCTCTGCTGAAGTTGATTTAATATCCATGATTTGAAGTTGAAGTTTAAGGATGATTATTTCGAGACATTGTTTGTTGGGAAATTGACAATAAACTTTCCCTAAAACAGTACAATGTTGTTTATTTAATTCTTATATACCATCCAATTACAAGAACTACGAAGCAATCTTAAGTAGATATTTCCATTTGTTCGAATGATATTGCTCCCAACAAGCAATTGTTTAAAATCCCTTGTTGTAATTATTTAAAATCAAAGCAACATGTCCAGTAATGTGGAGATTGATCACTTCAAATCTTGGGATATCCGCGTTATTCAAATGATTTTCTTCATTTTATTGCTTATGGTTTCGATTCAATCTTTTATTTTTTTGTTTGGTATTTTATTATGGGTTTATCAGAAATGAAACTATCCCGGTCACTTTTATTTTCTGATAAGAAGTTTTCAAGCAGACAGATTAGACGTAAATGTTAGCATTCTTCTAAAATATGGAAAGGATAAAATGTGCAATACAACTGACCTGAAAATAGCAATTAAGCAAATTTCCATGTTTGCAATCTTGTGGAATCATTATATATACATGAAAATTAAAATGTTTGTACATTATTTCTCTTCTTTAACTCGGCTAATTTAATTTTTTTTTTCACCGATCGTTTTTGAACTATCCTCTGAATGTAATGAAAATGCAAATGAAATATTTAAAAATTTTTCCATCCAGATATAGAAATAATTTACGGAGCATGGTAGATGATTTAATAAAGCATCTACCAATATTATATTAGTTTTAATTAGACAGATAGAGAATGAACATAATTTAGAGCATTGAATATGATGAAAACTGAGTGATTGAAAGTTCTACTGATAGCGAAGAGAATTTTTATGCATTTTTTAACCAAATAATACTAGTGTAGATAAACTGTTTTCATCACTTTATTTTACTACAATTTTGAAATTCATTAGGTTATTGCGCAGAAGACATTGAAACTCGAGGTTTGGTGCCACCACAACTAATTTATGAACGACAACCAAATTGGCAACAATACATCCTTAATCAAATACCTTGTTACAAAACTTTCTCTATTAATTGGCCAGAAATACTAGTACAGAAAATAACATCCTGTAAATACAAGGTTTGTTGATAAAAGATTTAATTTTACAAAGAACCTATAAACGAAAAATTAAACTGTTCCATCAGGTTTTTTAATAACTAAGTTTCACATGTGAATTTCATTCTTAATTAATAATATATGAGAAAAAGATTAATTTCTTATTAGTCAAAAAAATTATGAAATGTATTCATTGTTGCTATGCATATAGTGAACTATATTTTCATAGGTGAATTTTGTGTCGTTAAATGTGCCGTTAAAAAAATTTATTGATGAGGGAGGAAGTTTGAAACATTTAGAGGATAATCACATTTGATCGGTTTGTATTCACCTAATTGATATATTTGATGAGATTTTCAATATTCCAGAGAGGAGATGAGGTGGAACTGCTAGATTCAATATATCGTATGAGAGTCCGTCCAGCATATGTTGAACAAGTTATTGGTGGTCGAATATGGGTGTGTTTAAACAGTAAATTTGCGATACGACCTATGATTGTTAAGGGTGACTTTCAGGTAATGTCTCTAATTTGTTATAGTTAATGGATTATTTTGATAGCGCATTGTAATTTGTTATTCTTTTAGAACGTTTGAAATTATTACAAGCTGCTGATATTCTATTATAGCTTTGTGAAGGGGTTTGGATGGACCAAAATTCGCCGATAATTTTTCCTATTGGATGGGCGTGGAGAAATGGATATAGGATGGAAGCAAATGGTGATTATTTTAATCATGTACAAGAAGTTACATCTGATTTACAGCTGGTACGTTTTGGCAACTTTAAATATGGTTGAAAATTTTTATTGAAATTGTGGTGATCATACTTTTCGTTTCCTTACTAATTCGAATAGAACATCTAATGCAATTCGAATTCGTTCAGTCCGTTAATGTCAAATATCGTTTGCAATAATTTAATGTTATATCTCTTCTTTTCTTATTCGTTAGCATTTTGTGGCATATTGAGAAGGATAACCCTCTTTACATTGATCGTCGACTTTTGACCTATTCTTAAAATTATAAAAATAATAGTGTACATTTTGAAATGGTTAGACTTATATTCTCTGTCACCCTATATCATTTCAGATATTTCTTATTTCGTGTATTTTTGAAGAAGAAACAATTTTTTGAATTTACTTGAAATAAAAATCGTATTTTAAAATATTGAAATGATTCATGTTTAAGGGGTTAGCTGATAATCCAAGTGAAGAACATGAAGCGAATCCGTCTATCCAAAAAACAGAAGCTGAAGGAAATGAAATTACGTGGAAAATAGGAATGAAACTGGAAGTATTGGATCCGTTCGGTTCTTGGAATGAATTGCGGGTATCAACTGTTACCAGAATTATGGATAATGGCTTTCTCAAAGTTAATATTTTTCTTCAACACTTTCATTTTTCAGTTATTTACATGCGATATGCTGCAAACATTTTTGTAGGTTTTCTAGATTCCTGCATTTTAGTATATATTTTTGTATATTTTATTTTAGTATATTTAGTATATGCATTTTAGCATTTTAGTATACATTTTTTAGATTATATTAAGTTCCTCTTCATTTATCTGTCTTTTACAATCTGTGAGCAATTTTGCAGATCAATTTTGATGGTGAAATGGATCATCACGCGGTACCACTACATTTCACTTCAGAGTTACTGTTTCCTGTCGGTTATGGGGCTAAATATGGAATATCAGTGAAAAAACCAAAAAATTTACATGATCCAGGTAATGGTATGATCGATATTCGAAAAACTTAGTATGAGTGCTATTAGTTCTTGAATATAATACTTTTGAGGATATGCTGTAATTGAGTACCGTTTTGTCTGGGAAGGAACCTTTTAATTTCATTGGCTTTGAATTTCTCAAATTCTTCAGGAAATTTTGACTGGAATGTTTATTTAAGAATGACCAATGGTGTCCCTGCACCTGAAGAGCTTTTTCATACATTCAAAGATGATGTTTTAAGCAATTTTAAGGTTTCTTTTCATTAATGGTGTTGCAGAATTATATTATAATTAGCTGCTAGTTCTTTCATCTTTTCTAATAGTATCATATACGATAAGGGATAAAAGGCGAAGAGCTTGAAGAATTGGTATCTTTTGGGATTGTTTTAGCCTTCAGGATTTTTAAAAATCCATTTTTGTTAAAATCCTTATCAATGTATTTCGTAATAAGAGGCTTAATTTTTTAATGTGAAAGATTGCAAAATATCTTCATTTTAATGGAGTATATATGAAATTTTCAAAGATTGGAGCAAGACTGGAAGCAACTGATATGTGCGAATCAAACTTGATATGTCCAGCAACGATATCAAGCCACCATGGACGACTTCTAAAAATCGCATATGAGGGTTGGGGTAGCAACTACAATCAATTATTCGATTATAGGTATAATAATTTTACTTAATGATAAACGATGAATCTATCAGGAGATTTTTATACTTGAATAGCAAGAAAATTTTCAGTTCAAGATTGAATTCATTTTATAATTCAAAGCAACAATATTTACTATGTCAGTTATAGTAGAATATATTTCAGGAAAGTTGTAGCTAACTTGAAATGTTAGCTGGTGTGAAATGATAGTATCATTAATAGGATTTATATTATATACGTCAGCAATAAAAATAGTTATTTCAAGGATATATTTGATTCAGGAAATTATTAATCCTAATTTTTGTAGGGCCTCTTATAATTATCTTTTTAAATGAATTTATTTTCAGATCACCGAATATTTTTCCTGTTGGTTGGTGTGAAATGCATGGATATAAACTAACATCACCGGCAATGGCGAAGAAAAAGAGAAGAAACTAGCATAAAATTTTAAGACAAATACCTCTTGATCCTATTTTTCCTCAATTCCAATAATTTCTCTTACATGATATCTATTTGTTTTTTGCTTATTGTATGTATATATGATATGCAAACTTCAATTATTGCCATGTTTGATGTAAATCAAATTGATTAGTTGATATTACAAATTTATCTTATGCTTTCAAATCAAATATTCGCATTTCTATTTCTTTGATGATTTACATCTGTATTACATCGTAGAAGTATTGTTTATTTGAAGGAAAATCAAAATGAATTCGATAAAAAAAATTCTACAAACTTCAATTATTGCGGTGTTCGGTGTAAATCAAATTGATTAGTTGATATTACAAATTTATCTTATTTGTTTTTCAAAATTTAAAGTTAGTTGAGACACAGACAATATGAAAATGTTTCTTTGCTTAACCGAGGAAATATGATTTTTTCAACAGTATATAATTTTTTACATTGATTTGATATCCACTTACCGCATGCCCTAATTAATAGTGTCAGCTGGTACAATGCTATAGGATAACTTATAGGATAAGCGGAGAATTTTGAAACATTAAAGATGGAAAAATAGAAAAAAACATCAGGGGTGGAAGAAAGAAATAGATTCTAATTAAAAATTCTAATAAATTTAGGTCAGTGATAATGAGATCGAAAATGATAGTTTACAGTTTAGCGTGAATTCAACCAGTATTCAAATGATTCAATATTTTTCTTTTATCTGGACAATAATAGGCTTAACACAAAACTGAGATTTCTTGATGTATTTCAATTTTTGCAGGATTTTAGGATTTATCGCTTGTTTGTTTACTTTGATTTTTATGTCGGCTAAGTTGAGTTTTACGTCTGGATACGATCGATTTTGTCCATTTTCGAGAATATTTCCTGGAAGTTGCATCTGACGATGACCCTGATGTTGGTAATGAACGTCTATTCCATTTTCGAAGTTCACCTGATGCTCTTGATCGTATTTCCACATTATGTTTGTATGTCTGCACAAATGGAAACTGATAATAAATTTACTCACAATTTTTTTTCGTCCAAATTTAACTACTAAATGTTTTCGGATTACTTTAGGTAAATTTTTAAAATTATTTTAAATAATTGCTATCTTCCCTTCTTTTTAATTCACTTTAACAAGAGATCACAAAAGTAAAGTATACCTCTAAAGTAGGATCAGAAGCTCGAGCTTCACCTCTTGTTAATGTTGTACTTGGCTCTTCGGTTGTTTCTGTTAGCTTCTGAGCTGCTTTCTAAACTTTAAAAACTTTTTTTCCAGGAAGCGAATAGTTGAGAAATTTTGCGAGAAAGCAATAATTTCAACAATTGATTTAATAATTATACAAATAACTTCCGTCATATTTCCTATCTGTGCATAAATTTATGAAGAAACTTCATCAAGTAAACAAAGATTAATCGTGATTTATATTTAAAAATTATTCTGTTGCTTTCATTCTTTGTACTGCTAAATATCATAATTAATGTAACTATTAATTTTGATAAATTAAAGATTAGTGAAAGCAGAGCAATTGGAAATGATTTGATGATCCGGTAGAGAGAATTAATTTTGCTTACATCATCCATTTCAAGTTTTTTTGATAACACGCTATCCGGTGAACTCTCCTCCAAATTGATTGAATTTTTCGATGAATCGATTCCATCTAGCATATTTATAATGCGATCTTGTCCAGCGGGTAACTGAAAATATCATCTATTTTTAATTTTTCAAAAGGTAAAAAATAATTTAATTCTTAACTAATTTAATAGGAAGAATTATTTTGAATATATATGGCATCAATTTTCATCCTACTAAATATTTTGCCATCATTTGGATATTCAAACTTTGTAGGCATATGATTTGGATACGGTATGTGCATTGCCATTTTTAGCTGAGAGATTTGTTTTACGGAAGACTGAAACCCGTCATACCAAGTGCGGTCACATTTGACACAATTATTGTGTGTTCCAGCGATTTGGACAATAGTATCGTTTAAACTAGAACTGTTGGCAAAGGAAGTTAAAGTAATATTTTTATGAATGGATTTTCTGATCTTATTTCTTGTCTCACAGCTACTTTAATTGTGCATGTATTCTTTCTTTCCGGAAATGCAAAATAAACAATACGGAGATGTTTTTACACTATTACTATGCAAACTTTCCTGTCAGAAATTACAATAATAATATCGTGATAAGCTTAAAATTAAAAAATAGCTTTCAGTGTTTTATTGAAATGGTTGTTTTGAGGTCTTACTAATCGATAGGGTTAAAAGATATGCATTCATTGCATAGTACCATTGAGAAATGAATGATTATAACCTTTTGTGATTTTAACACCGTACGAAGCCTTTTCACAATTTCGATAAAATCAGGCCTCTGCACAGCTTTTCGTTTCCAACACTGACACATAATCTGTAAATTATGCAAGAAATTTGAATAATAAATATATTTGGCAAGACATCAACTGCGATTCATATTGACTAAAATAGTTAACTAATCTGTTTTCACTTTAGGATAATATCATTTAAAAGTTTTGTTACAGCTACCTATAGTATCTTGGCAACAAGATTATCAGATAGAATGTTAAATGACGAGACCATGAGGAGTTTTTTCTTCTTTCTACAACATGAAAACCTCTGGAATTTCATATTATCTGAATCATAGCTTTCAAGATATTGCATAATTTTATTATCGATTGTTTAAAACAATTAACTGAAAGAGGAATAATGTAAAACCTCTTTGACATTTTTGTCATTTAATAATAACGGTGTGGTCATAATCCTTCCTTTCCTCACAAGTGGTATTATATCTTGAACCAGAGCAATATCAGGCCATGGCTCACCACCGCAAGAATAGACCTTAAAAAAAAACAAGCTTCCATTTACTACACATTTTGTTTATTTTAAATTCAAAGAAAGTATAAGTGGAAAAAAAGAAAAAATTGCACAAAATCGCATTTTACCAAAGTTATAACGAGGACATGAACTTTGACCTACTTATTAGCTATGCTACGTTTGTATAATTTGCTTAATTAATCTATTTTCATTCTATTTATACATCTTTCCAAATTTCTTTATCTGTTTAATTTGATTGTCTTGAACTGAGATTATCATTGAAAAGGTAAATAGTGATAAAGAAATACAGAAAGATTATATATCTTCAAAATTTTCTCCTTTTTCAATGAAATTAATTTTTCTTGGTGATGATTAATTTAGCAAATCAAAAACAAAATTCGATTACCTCATAAATTAGAATTCCAAATGCGTAAACATCACTTTTTGTTGTAAACTTTGGCTTCTTTGATAGTGTTTCCGGTGCCATCCATGGTATTGGCCAAGCAATATTTTCATTATCACTGGACACATTTCTGAAAGAGAAAATTAAAGGATAAAAAATTGTTTCCGGCTGGTTGTTTCTTCTTACCTCTCAATTCAATTTTAGAATTTAGATTAATTAATTAAATGCAATATTCCATACGGATTTTAATTGATAAGTGGTAGTAGTCGAAGATGAAACAAATATTTAAAATATTGAAAATTTGAATTCACAGTGCGCAATTGTCATTCTCTGTGTATTTCAATTACTCATCACATGAAGAGATAGATTTGCAATGAAAATTTCTATTTATTTACTGCAAACAAAATTACTTCAAATCTTTCAAACGTCTGCTTAAACCAAAATCGGATAGTTTCAGTGAACCATTGATTCCAATCAAACAATTTCTAGCAGCAACATCCCTAAAATTATCACCATACTAGAAGAAAAGTTCAGTAAATGTAGTATCAGTGATAATAATTGCACAGCATATCATCTCTTCTCTTCTATCAATTACTAATAAAATTATTTTAGTTTGAAGCTATGAGTCATATAGCAAAAAAATAGGTAACTTTCTTACCACCTGTGGACACATTTTTTGAGTTGAAGATGTCGTAATGCTTTCGCTGCTTCATATAAAAATATATTTCGTTCTTCATTTTTGATTGCTTCTTTATGTTTAATGAGCAAATTTTTCAACGAACCACCAGGACAATATTCCATCACAACCTAAAATGGAACCAAATAAAATTTATATGTGCACGACTAACGTGAAAAGTGTTGATGGAACACGTAGAATAAATTTTAGCATCTGAAAGAAATTTGTTGTAACAAAATTCTTAAATATAAAAATGGCAAAAAAGTCTATTGAGGTAATTGAAAAATATTTATACATAATATCATGCAGCTGAAAATTAAATGTATATCTTGTTATACATTTTTTAACGTACGTTAAACGCATATTAAATTTTTATCTTAATATTTCATCAGTTATTTGAAACATAAATTGACATCAATTTTATTTCATCCAAATTGACACTACAAAAAATATATTCGGAAAATGGTTACCTTAACAGGTGCAAAATTACAAGCTACCCCATATATCCTAATGATATTCTCATGCATAAAATCGGAAACTAATCGAGCTTCAGCGATCATTTGCGATTTCGCAAGCTTTATTTTGATAATATCTTTGGTAGGTAGTTTGTCAGTGATGCTAACTTCGTCGATTTGTAAGCAACGTTTCACCGCAACAGTAATTTTTTCAGCTATAATTAAGAAAAATAACGCAATTACTGTAATATCCGGTAAATTCATTTGTAAATTATTAGCGAATTCTATCCAAATTTTCAACAAATTGATTATATTTGTTTACTCTCTGCAATCCTAATGTTTTAGGAATTAATGATAACTATTGCTTCACTCCTCCGTAATTGATGATTCCGGTTAACAGGTTTGAATAAAAAGGTTAAACTATAAAAGCAAAACTTGATGATAATGACATCAAGAATTATTTTATGTAACATTAATAATTTTAGTGTGAATAAAAATGCAAATTGATTAAAATGTTCTTTAGAGAGAGCATTTTTCAACCTTTTTTAAATGAGACACTTAACACTTATTAATGATAATTGGATAAAGGTTAAAATGAATTGACTATTCTCTCTCTCTCTCTCTCTCTCTATTGTTTCTTAATTTTATCAAACTCTTCCTTTGATAATATATGAGAGAAATGAAATTAAAAAATTTAATTATGAAAATCTCTGATAAATGAAAAATTATCCTAATTAAATTTTCACAATTAAATAAAAGAATTTTTACAAATATTTTAAAATTGCATCCAAAAATTTAATCATACGATTGAATTATTTAATGTATAAAATACATATAATTAATTATTCAATTATTATTTATATGCTAATTTGAAGTGTAATTTTATGGATAAAATGATTTAAATACTAACTGCCCATTTTTAGCGTTCCTTTAAGTACTTCCGCATAATGTCCCTCTCCTAATTTGATATCTGTCATCGTTAAATTCTCATCGTCTAATAGATAATTAGGACGATTAATTGGATTTTGTAAATTCATCTAAATAATAAAACTTATAATTATATTAAACTTGAGAAGTAATAATGATGTAGATAATAAAATGATTAATTATTAATTCTTTGTTAGGTAGTATATTTCATAAAGTTTGAAAAATTATCAATCAAGTTGTAAATTTATTTATCAATCAAACTGTAAATTTATTTATCAATCAAATTGTAAATTCATTTTATCTAATAAGGTGATTGAATAAATTAAAATCTTTCATCGGCAATCATCTAATAAATTGTTTGAATTATCGATTATTTGAATTATCGATAAATTAAAAGTTGAAAATTTTATCAGATTGGAAGTATTCTCATTATGATTTGAACTTTTACATCAAATTATTCTTCAAATGAAAATTTTAAAAAGAAATATTAAAGTGAAAAATAAAGAGTGAAAAATAAAAGAAGAAACCTTTTGGCGGATGTTTGATTCGTCAGATAAAAGTTTAGTAATTGATCCGTATGTGATCAATTCATTATTTACAGCCGTATTTTTCATGTCCAACAGTGTCCATCCTGTAACTAATAAATTCTTAAAGCTAATAATCTCTTTCATCTTTCATCAATTATGATTGTCCTGATAATTATTGTTTTAATTCATCTTCTTGACAAATATAAATTTGATAATAATTATTTTATAGTTTCTTTGAAGTTCTCAAAATGTAAATCGCTTTGTAAATCAAATATCTTCTGTATCTTATCATTTTCGCATTACATTAGATTTTCTATAAGTGTGCATTTTTTATATATACGAATAGTTAAACTATTCAAAACTTTTATATTGTCTATTCTATAGATAATACCTTTCAAGTTTTCTTTATAAACAAGCTTCAATTCGCGCACATTCTTTTCATCCACTTTTGTTATCACAAATAGTAAACGTTTTGCATTGGTACCCGAACTACGAACACACCAATCACCGGGTTTTAATAAATGTGATGCAATATGATCCCTACAAAAATGTATCTTATAGGATCGAGTAGTCTCTTTTTGGTTTCCGTGGTTTAGATTTCTCATTAACTTACTTTCAAACTTCAAAAATTTTTTGAACAAAGTATAGGAAAATCTAAGCTGTTTTTCCTTCTTCATCGGTTGATGCTTTAAATTTCCGGAAATTGCGAATTAATGCCTCTCTTAAATTATCAACGGAATTTGTGAAATTCCGCTCAAATAGTATTTATTTATATTAGGCGTAATTATTGTTTACCTTGACAGGAATCCCAAATACCATGGCTGCATCTCAATTTTTTCCATCATTGATATCATTAAATCATACAAGACTAGAAATTCGCATAATAAACGGCTGCTGATCGATTCATTGCTGCTTTTGTACTATTATTTATGCAAATTCATATCGCTTGCGAATATCGTAATTTATGCATATTACGGTAAATTAAATTCTAAATACTTATTACCTGAGATAAAATGATGTCATAAAATATAATATATGTGCTATCACTTCGGAACAAACTTCAACCTTTCTGATAAAGCAGAAGTCGATTACAGATGAAGATGTGAATTAGTCATTTATTAGCGTAAAGTTAGCAATGGTACATTTAAATTATATTGTAAAAAAAATGATACTTCAAAGGTGTAATAGTGAAATAATGATATAATAATGTGGGTTTAATTAAGTACTTTAAAATTAAATATTGTATAGTCTGTGAGTTCAGTTTTTCATCGGCTTTTTCATTTTTTCATCGGAAGGGGAAGAAACGAAGCGGTAAACGATAATCTGAATTAACTGTGGAATGAAAATATGCGAATATTTGCATGGAATATTTCGTTATCATACATAAGCAAAGATAATGCATGTATTTCGTACTATATAACAAGTCAGCTCCGTGATGATAATAATTGTTGGCGGAAAATGTGCAAGCATAATTTGATATTCAATCAGACCAAGTAGTAATGAAAAATTCATCAAGGAAATTTCCGCCAATTCGATGACATGAAACATTCAAAAATCGCAAACTCAATTTTTGATTCTTTAAGCATATTAAGCGCACATTTCTGCTATTAGCTGTCTTTATAAATTTTAGACACTGTCAAGTGTCGATGATGTAACATTTGCCGCTATGAATTGTGTGCATGCGCCGCACTGCCAGTTTATTTTCTTTAAACATATTTTTTTGTATTATACAAAAAAATACAGATGAGTAGTTTGACAGATAGAAAATCATAAATATTGGCTCAGAATCCTGAATGGTTTTTTCCAATTACATATATTTCGTAATTTCAAAAAAATAAAGGACGAACACATTCGGTGCAAATCCTAAATAATTTATTAGATTTCAATGAAACTAGAACAAGTTCAAATATTATGTTTTGGTTCATTTTTGCGGCTATTACCATATTGAATATCTTGAATCTTGCCTCGATGTATTTTGCGGTTTGTTTATTAAGATAATAATGAAAATTTATTCTGCGCATAACAAACAATGAAATTATTCAACCTTTTTCTTCACGGTCCCATACAAATGAAATTACATTATTTACAGCAGAAAGCGTTTCCATTTTCGTCCAGAATTGCCAAACACAATTTAACCATTTATTCCAATAAATCTGAAATATAATATTTCCAGTATAATACTCTCCGGTTCAAGCGGGCAGCTTGAATCCTCTAACTGATCTCCGCTTGAAACCGGAGAATTCTTACATAGTGCAACATTTACTTCATCTTTACAAAATTAACTATTTAATACTTTATGAGGACTAATAAGCAAAAATGTCATTTATTGCTATGAGATATAAACATGATCCAATTTATTTTTAGTGCTGGTGTGGGTAGCTCTTCTTATTTCTTTAAACATTGGATGTCATTAAAATTATACCCTCTCACTCTCAAGAACGTCCAATAAATACTATCAATAATTGAAATAAATCCCATATCAAAATATAACATCTTATAGAATACTATGTATGTATTTAACCATCTTGATAATACTATTATCATTATCATTACCATTAATTAATCAACAACGACAAAAAAGCGTTTCCTTTTTAACGTACAAAAAAGAATTATATACATACTTCTAGATGGGATGAATTCATTTCCACAACATCTGCTATCGAACCATTTTCTTTTGCTACAACAATTGCGCCGCAACGAATCTAAAAATATAAAGAATGTAATTTTAAAAACCTTTCGCTTCAGACTACGATAAAACAATTTCAATTTTGAAATTTACTCTAAAAATCATAAGAGGAGCAGCTGGCTTCTTTCAATGGCGAAAGTATCTGCTAGCAACTAAAACTTCGTCATGATCCTTTTTTATAAGTTACATTGATATTTAACAAATCTTGTGAATCCTTTAGCAGTGAATAGTAATAGTAAACTATAAACTATTTCAATAATAATAAGTAGTGCTAAAATCCCACAACATCCACGTCTACACATAATTGGAATAAACACTACATTAAAGTAAAAAAATCAAAAAAGATGATAACTTTCTTCTCCGCTATTTGTTCAAACAGCATGAGTGTGAGATCTTAGTTTTCCATCTGGCAGTCAACTACTTAAGTACCCTTATTTTTTGAAATAATAATCTTCGTTTTACTTTAAAAATAATAGTATTGTATATCCTAAGGCAGCAGAAAGTTTTTTTTGACATCGGTGACGGATTGGAAAGAAAAAGGAATCATCATTACTAAAAGGAGGTTCGATAAACCAGAGGGAATTTTCATGTACTCCAAACAAATTTTCTTTTTTAGTCTTTTCAAAACTACTCCAACGAAGTAATAAAAAGTAATATTAACTTCTGGTAACATTTTGAAATTTGGATCTGAATTAACGGCACCAATATATGCGGCTACTTGCAATGGGTCATTGTACATTTTCTCAATCCCCGTGCACGCATCTTTCGTTGAACCTGGTGAAGCTGTTTTCCAATCCATCAAAAACAAAGCATCTCTAAACAGAATGACATCTTAGTATCTAAACATCACAACTTGAAAAAATTTTTCTAATTGGAAAAAAATGAGAATCTGATGAAAAAAAGCTGAGCATTTGCATAAGCTCTTGTATCAAATTAACTGAGAAACAAGAATTTTTCGTAAATGGAAGTGAAAACTATGTTTGAACTTCTTTATTCTTATAAATTTCCAAATTTAATCAGAAGAGAGATTAATATTCACGTGATACCATGTTTTGAGTGCAGTTATAAGTTTACTTAATTAAGAATTAGGTTGGAACAAACTTGTAGGTAACAGCAGCATCGAATCGTCCGCTATAGCAAAGACCGTGATGGCTCGTAGGTCTTTCCAGTTTCATATTTTTGCTATCAAGCGTGCGCAAAACAGGAAGTACACTATTTAAATAGCTCGCAATAGAGCTATCGACCTAAATGCAAAAAAAGAAATAAAAACCAGCATCAGCGACATTGGATCATTTGTAAAAACTCTACTTCGGAAGTCATTTGCTCAGCAACATCATCGGGAAAACTTCCGCGCTTTCGAAATTCCTCCAAAATTCTTTGTATGCAACTGTGGTACTGTGTGCCTGACTGCAAGCGAACTGAAAACAGCTACATAAAACTAAGAAGTGAGACGGATAAAATATAACACCTGTCCAGTAGTATGATTAACGAATACTTCGCTAGCACAATAAGTCAACCATTAAAATTTATTTGCAATATTCTTTCAAAAATAGATCACATCTTATGCTGGTTTCATTAATCATCAAACCAAAGATCAGAAAATATTATCTTCCTAAGGGAAACAAGGCTAACCTCTCATATATCTCTTGAAAGCACCTAAACCACCCAACTGTTTGATCATTTTCAATTGCCATCGATAAAGTAAATGCTGTGAAGTTGTGCATCCTAGAACGGTTGAGACTGATGGATAGCGACCATCCTCCAAATTTGCTATGTTTTCTATAAATTGATTGGTTTTCTGAAAATAATATATAATTTAATTGGAACCATGATAGAACATGAACTTTTCTGATTTATTCAAAACTAAACTAATAATTCCAAATTTTTTACTTGAAAGATATTCAAAAAGTTCGGTTCAAAATGAATGTTTTATTAAATTTATTGTTGAATACTCATTGTTATTCATAAAAAACCCATGACTCAGTGAAATTTGACATAAATTCAAATGAAGTCACCCATAAGGACAGAAGGATCATTCCTAAAACTTTTCGGAAAAGAAAACATGGAAAAAGCAAACTCACAAGATATGGTAATTTCTGCTGGGTATCCAATGATGATGGACGAGAAGCAAGGAATTCTTTTTTCGGCAAAGCTCCAAGGATATCTTTGACAACACATGGAGTGATTACTGTACCATAATGAACTGTCTTTACACCAACTTTTGCTACCATGCTGCAGCATATTCTATTTAAGATAAGAGAAGAAAAAAACAGATGTCCATCTATCATATTGAAAATACCTTAAGACAAATGTTTCAACCGCCTTTGAAGATAATATTTCTCTAATTTGAAGAAATTATAATATTTATGCAGAATTTATTATAACTCATTGCTGTGAAACTAATCAAATTATCACTAATATTATAAAGAATAACAAGACTATGATTAACAAATCCTGGATAGCATTATGACAATAGAGACTTCAGCACAAAATTTATGAAAAATCTACAGATTGCAGAAATAACAACAATTCGTATAGAAAACGATTTGTGACCAACTATTACAAGCGAGAGGCACGCTTTCAACGTCAAACAAGATCATAAAACATCGAATAAGCTTTCTGGTGGTAGCGCAATTTGTTATTGAATATAGTCTAGTAACAGCAAGATAACGAGAATAAAAAACTCAAAACTGCAGATGACAGAAACAATCATTTTATGAGCAAAATTATGGATAATGATTTAAGCCTATGACAAGACGAAATTAGGTACAAATGGTGGAGGCGGCATATTGACTTGAGGCGCAAGCATGAGCTTCTCTTCTTTCATCTGCTCTACATACAACCAACATGGTGTTACTTGATAATCCGAGGGCGGTGGTTTGTAAGTTGGCTTGTGGTAAGGTGGAGCTGCTCGTAGTCCCCATCTTTTGTACATGGGATCATTCGTATCATAGACTATTCGATCACTACCCCATAACTGTGGAGGTGGTACTACTTGTTGTGCTAATACAGTTGCCTGTTGAGCTGCTTGCTGATATGCATCTAAAAAGATTTGAAATTATATAATTATAGAATGTATAACATACTAATATTTAACTTAAATTTTTTTAAAGTATTTAATCTATTAAACTAACTCAAGTATTTTGAGACTCAAGCAATAACGCAAGCATATTATGAAAACTATAGGAGACTGAATAAATTTAACAATTACTATCTCGTTGGTCTCCCATAACTATTTGCGCGACTTGTGCCATCTGTTTCATCATCTCGGCGACGTGTGTCGGATCTAAGGCTTCTGCAACTTTAATAAGATAATGAATATACATTTTATTTTCTGAACTAAAATTCAATTAAAACTATCATAATTCGTCGATAAAACATTATATATTTTAGCTATTTCCGATTTTCTTCTAGTTAGTTGAGCTACGGTTTTTATTTCCTTCATCCGTCTAGATGTAATTACTGAATATCTATTACCGAAAATCGGAATATGAATTCTAAACAAGTGATAAATTGAAAAAAACAAACATGAATTTACATACAAAAAGTTTAATGGAAATAAGTTATTATTACCATCAACACTTTTGGATTCTGTTGTATGTATCGATACAGCTTCTTGGGAACTTGCTACAGCAGCCTGATGCATTTGCTGTTCGAGCTGCATTGCTGACTGATGATGTGCAAGATATGATTGTTGATGTTGTGCATAAGCCACTGCTTGTGCAGCAGTTTCAGCTGTTTAAGAAAAAAGATTCAGAGTTCAATAATCTTGAGAAATTATTAACTTGAATTAAACATAAAAGATTGAATCTCTTTGGTCTGAGCGATTCCCCAAACATTCATCATCCATTCATGAATTAATAACAGTGAAATAAGCAGAAATCAATACTGCAGAAATTTTATTCTAGCCAAAGAAACCTAATAAGAACTTCTGAAAATGATTCTTATTCTTCTCTCTGCAAAAGCTTGAGGCATAATCATTTGTGCAATAAATTCGTTATTAAATTTGCTTGCTTTATATGGGAATGGAAGTTACCTTCTAGTTGCTGCTTCTTTCGTTCCTCCTCGGCTTCTTGCTCTTTCTTCAGTTTTGCTTCTGCTGCTGCCTTCGCTTTAGCTTGTGCAGCAGCCTAAAAGATCTTTACGTAATAGATTATCCATCTGACATTATTTAATTGTTACTGTTCTGTTTTGTAATGAAGCCTACATTTCCTAAACAATGTGTCAATGAAATTTTGTCATGAATTATTAAATGGATTAACTCCATAAAAATTTTATCCGAATTATTGATCCAAAATGTTACTTGTGCTTCTTGGGCATCGATTTCCGCTTTAGCACGTATCATTTCACGTCGCTGATCAACATCTCGTTCCCAAGCCTCAAATTGCTTGACATATGCATCGTAAGCTTCTGTACCCACCGAATTCCTAGAATATAAATGTAAGAGTAAATGAAACAAAAGCCCAATAACTGTCAACATATAACAAAATGAACTATCGGCCTATAAATATACTTCGCAATTTCCTGTTCACTTCTACCTTTCCCAAATATGTATTACAGAGTCGTATGTTAACAAATTAATTCTAGATAAATATTTACGGTGAACGAATAACTAACGTACATTATTTAGTACATAAAAAAAGAATTTGCTGTTGGACAAAATTAAAATCGAGGATATATCTTGAAAATTGCTACGAATTGAAAATTGTTAAATATTTACGGTGAACGAATAACCAACGAAATATAATTCGAAAAGTAAACATTTAATGAAAAATAACAAAAATGAAGGAAACAAACTTATTCTTTTCTTTCCATTGCTCAAATTGTGCTTTATAGTCTCGATATTGTTTTTCTAACTCTTCTTCTGGTGTTAGCTGCACCATATTGTTCTGCAATAAATGAAATACCTTATATTTCGATAATACCTGTCAAAATACTCGAGAAGCAATCCTTTTCAATGAACTAATTTAAGATATGATTTTCTGAGATTAGCAAAATTTATAAATATCTGAAACAAAAAGCTCCTTCCCGGTGAAATATTTTCCATCACAGGAAAGGCTCATGACTGACTTGCTACGTTGAAGTTGCGACTATCGTTACCTATTGAGGAAAATTGTTCATTCTAAATTCCATTGATTGCAGTTCGGATGAGAGAGAGAAAATTTGTCTGCCACAAAACAGCTGCATCTTCTTGTACCGAATGATACTGCATGCTTTTTATCGGATAATAGTGCATGCCTTTTTATCGGGTAGTACTGCATCCCTTTCTATTGGATGATATTACAAATATGAATCTTTGTTGCATCGATTCTCACATTCACGACATTTCACCCGAAAATGTGTCAATGAATTCTATCATTTTTTGAAACATCAACTTTGCATGTGGCAGTTGCAGATAAAGTGATCGAAACTATGTGATCATTTAACACAATGTAATTGTTAGAAAAGATTTCTTCTCAATGATCAGAAATCAATGAGAGTGAAACTTTGGGGATCATCAATTTTTATTGGAATTTTCAATTTTATTCCGTCATCAAAACTTTTACCATTTTATTTCCATCTTTCTTTTCCATATGTATGTTTGTTTTCAAAGCAGGTATTATTCAAAGCTTTAGCTGAATTCATTTATAATTCTCAGTTTGACAATAAATATCTTAATGAGAAATAAGGAATCAAAATCTGTATGATTAAAGAACTTCTCGAACTTGGGATTATTATTGACTTTTGGCCATCATGGAATGAAATCAACAATTTAGTTCCGTTGGTCGTATTCATTTGAATTTAAAAGTCCTGACCTCTCTGTTGAACTCTAAAACAATGGTGGCTTGTTTATTTGTTTTACTATGAGACCAAAAGTTCATCTAGTAAAAATTGACCTCCAAGTTTGATCTGTAATTGATTCAAAAGCGATAGTACAATAATGCAATTGAAGTTCGGAAAATTATTTTGCTAGTAAAATTGTTTTGACTAATGTCATTGAACTAGGAAATGTATTCAAAATTTACCCTTAAATTAACCGAATTACTGGTACCCAAAGAATTTTTGGGTTGATAAACTTTAATAAGGATTTTGGGGCATATGATCCTGTCCATTTCGATTCGAAATCTAACTGAATGATCATTGATAGATAAGACAAGAATGTGATTATTCAATATAATATAAAGGAATTAAATTCCGTGTAACTTCGTTTAGACTTGCAAACAAATTTCTTGAATTAAGTAGAAAGAAAAAAGTATTTGTTGAAATAAATCCTTCTGATTATCGGCAGATGCAGCCATCATTTAGAAGAACAATTACATATATGACATACACGTAGTTTCAAGTTTTTATAGTTCAAGTTTAATATTTCAAGACCAGAAAGCAGTGGCAAAAGATTCATCATTGTGGTGTTTCACACGAAATAATTCAGAAACCAACAAACGATGGCGCTATTCGTTCCGATTTTATCAATGAATTTTACAATGGAAGTATTTGAAATGATTCTCAAGTGAGTGATATGAATCGGAAGCACTAGTATTTGACTATTTACATTTGCGTCTTTATTTATGTCTTTACATATATTTGTTTATATGATTACCCGCTTTATATGTCAGTCGCCTTTCTTCTTCAGTTTGAGGAAACAGTAAAAAAGGTTAAAGAGCGGCAGTTGAAGGCAGAACTATTCAAATATAATATCTCATGAAAGGCGTGGTAAGATTTGTTAACGTATTTCTCTATAGGTATGTCAAACCATCTGATAACTCATGTGCAGCATCACTCACATATCTTTATCAATTTTGAGTAGATCATTCAGGCGAAAATATTATGCTGGATATCCGCTAGTTTTCAAGATAGTATATAAAATTAATTGTGGCGGAAGATAATGAATATATTGTCGGATGTAATAACTCCCCGAATGCTCAGGTTTAATTCATTTGCTCCTGTAGCAGGAGCATGCGTAAGTTGTTGGGCGGTAAGTTAAGAAAGTATTGAACTCTTATTTATTACCAAACATCCCAAAATAAAGCTCATATCGTCCCTTTTATTTATTCTTTTATTTCGAATGAATTAAAGAGCTAATCCAGAGAAAGCATCTGCGATGCCGATAGACGATACATCCGATCGACAGCGATTATGACAGTACCGCATGTGCGCACATTTCGTAATAAAACTTATAACAATTAGCTTTCATCGAGCTATCAAATGTTACATTTGATATTTGCAACATTTACGAGCTTCTATACATCATTCATGATATTACAATAAAGTAGTATAAAAAAAAAATTTCATTTCACTCTTTTTATGTACAATCTTTTTATGTATGTATTGATATTTGACGCAGTGTTAATTAGCATGAACTTGATTAGATATGTTCTTTTTATCTTTAGTTCAATACTTTTTGACTTAATATATTTGTGATATAAATTGATAGTCATTGATACACATTCAATAATAATTGTTAATTACAGCGTGCATTGCTTTAAAGCGTACTTTTGATAATTTCTCATGGGAAGAAAAAGAGAATTATAAAATGAAATTTTCCTTTTTTTCTTGGAAATTCACAATTCGCTTATTGAAATTTAATAATTGATATTCATAATTAATGATATAGATAGCTATTTTAGTGTTTAATGAAGTTGCATGATATATGTGGGATATCTATACGAATTATGAAAAAATGACCCTCAAATATGGCAACAGCATTCATTACCCTATTAGGTTCTTTGATTACCTTACTATTGTGTCATATATACAATAAAAATATCGCACATATATACTATTAACACTTTGACCTTCCCATAGACTACTGAGCTTCTAAATGTATAAATAAATGTTAAAATTAATCTCAAACCCCACCAATCTTCCCTTCCGAGCGTAAAATTAGGTCGAATTTTTCAGAAAAACATTTACATTTGGTTCATCGTTTTCACTGCGAGTGTTTTATGGTGACACAATGTAAATCAGTTTATCACTTTCATGGACTGTAAATTAGGTGGGACGGCAAGGATAGTATGTTAGGATGTTTCATGCATTTTGTAGTTTTTTACGTAGGTGCAGTTGGCATGTTTCGCTTACACTCCGTATGAGAAATACTTAGATTCTACCGAAGTGTGATAAAATAATGTTGAAATATGGCAGAAATCGTGTTTGTACATTAAAGTAATCTCATTTAGGATATAGTATTACTATTTTGTTTGTCTTTTAATAGATCGACTTAAATCCATGCATAGGTATTTCTAAAGTAGTAATGCTTTTACGCTTTTTTGCCTATACACGTACATTTTTTCCAATCCTTCCATTGCATTCAATAGTTTTTTAGAAGTTTTTTTTTGGTTTCTTTGGTTCCATGTATCGTCTGCTTTTCAGGTTTCTCTGTCTTGGATTTCTAAAACTGCCCTACGTGGAAGGTGAAAATAAACCAAAGTAATGGCCGATGATCGTTCTCGTCGCGGTCTAAATCCAAATGCTCAAACATTCGTACCAAATCCAGCTGCTCGTCCTTTCATCCCTGGACAACCTTACATTTTCACAGCTCAACCTCCGCCAATGTACCATCATCCGCCACCATCTGTCTCCCAAGGAGCTTATCACCAACAATATGACCAAGTAGGGATAACCATGGTAGCACAGCATATGGTACCACCATCGACTACTACCCCAGTGTACAATCAGCCGATTGATACAGCTGCTGTACCTTTGATAGAGAAACCACGTATACCACCAACACAGCGCTTGTCAACTTTGCAGCAGCAGCAACAGCAAGCTCCTGCTGATGGTTAGTTTGATCTGTTTTAAAAGTTTCCTTTTCTCATGCACTCTCTTTCATCCCTTCTAGCCTTCCCTTCCAAAGAAGTTTTGTTTTGATGGCAAAAGCCCAACAAAATTGTTCATAACACAAGTCTGTTAACGATTCTAATAATAAGCATTTTAAACGAATTGATAATAGTGGATTTTTGTAAATGATTTAAAAGGAATGTTGTGACCAAGTCTGCTTATAAATGAGCTCAAGCCAATGTTTTAAACAAAGAGTCAGAGATGGAGTATATTATTTTTTAATTGATTATTGTCAATGTTTTTTACAGCTTGGGATGACGAAGTAGATGACAAGGAAGAAGTGGTAGGAACAAAGGAAGGAATGATAAAGGAAGAAGTGATGAAAAATGATTCTTCACCCGCAGAGGTGATTTTTTCGTTTTTTCTCCACTGTTTATTTTTCTTGACATTTTTTCATTGCATCAAATCTGATAGTGAAAAAAGAATCTTTACCTTCCTCCCTGTTCATTGTAGGAAGTTCACCCAAACTAGTTTAAAATGTCTTTTTTAATTACATTTACTTACATAAACTGATAGTATTTTCAGAAAGAGCAAGAACCGATGAAGCCTACAGATTTGGAAACCATGAAGCCTGAAAATAGGGAAGGCAAAGGAAATAATGTACTGTCTACAAGAGAAGTGGATGACGAAAATCCAGCATTACCTGTGAAGTTTAAGCAAACTGTTTACATCGATGGTTCGTTAACATTTGTTCATTAACATTAACAAATTGATCGAATAGATAAAGATTTCTGTTGACCTGAGTCGTGTTATAATCGGCTCAAACAAAAAGTCACACGAAGTTTGATTTCCAAATTATAATATAATATGTTTTACCCCTCACTATATTTTAGATAACAGTCGAAAGGAACACGTCAATATGGTTTTCATTGGGCACGTTGATGCTGGTAAATCTACGATTGGTGGACATCTAATGTACCTTACAGGAATGGTGGATAAACGTACACTGGAAAAATATGAGCGAGAGGCGAAGGATAAGGGAAGAGAGTCATGGTTTGTCCTTAATGATTAATTATTGTTTCGCTTTTGGTGAAATTCTTCGGTGACTTGCTTTTCCGTCTTACAACTTATTTCTGGGATAGATTTCGCACAAGCAAGATTCTTTTTTGGTCTTTAATGTTATAAAATTATCCGGTTGTTTATTGCGTGGCATCTGATGGTAATGCAATGAAACACAGTTATTCATAGGTATTTTAAAAAAGATAATTAGTTAAAAGTGTATGGTGAAGCTTATAACATAGTATGTGTTCTCAAAACAAATTCAATCTGTGGTGGAAGTCGATCCATCTTTTTTTATTTTCGGTATCTGTCGTGGGCATTAGATACGAATGATGAGGAGCGTGAAAAAGGCAAAACCGTCGAATGCGGACGCGCATTTTTTGAAACTGATAAAAAACATTTTACAATTTTGGATGCACCTGGGCACAAATCATTTGTTCCGAATATGATTAGCGGAGCAACACAAGCAGACTTGGCCGTGTTGGTTAGTTAATTTTTTTTCTTTTTTTAAGGGGAAGGGGAAGAAGGATGAGAAGGTAGGAGAGAAAAAACATACTTAAAAAATAGGTTTATCGCGTTCGATGGGAACATTTGAAATAAAGCGCTCTCGATTCTTTCCCTTGCTTCATTGATATATCTTTTGTATCGTTTTTGATGTTAGGCTGGTCATATCCTTTAGAGGTTTACATCCCTTTCATCTCAGTTTTTTATTTAGTGTTCATTTTCGCTGAAAGATGTATTTTCAGGTCATCAGCGCACGAAAAGGCGAATTTGAGACTGGTTTCGATCGAGGTGGTCAAACGCGTGAACATACGATGTTGGTCAAAACCACTGGTGTGAAGTATCTTGTTGTGTTGGTCAATAAAATGGATGACCCTACCGTCAATTGGGACGAGGGAAGGTTTGCTCAGTTTTGTTTTTCACACGGAATGTTGACTGTAAAATGATACGAATTCTTTCTTGAACTTTATTTTCTTTGCAAAAGTGCCGGAAAATATAAAGAAAACAGTTTTTGTGTTTAGAAGTACTAATTTTTTTATTATAGGTACAAGGAAATTCAAAACAAACTTACACCTTATTTGCGGAAATGTGGTTTCAATCCGAAAACGGATATTATATACATTCCAGTTTCTGGACTTACCGGAGCATTTTTGAAGGAGCGGCCAAATTCTGAATTCGGTTCGTGGTACACGTAAGTTATGCTCAATTTTGTGTAGTGTGGGCATTTTGAGGACTTGGGAACCGTAGATAATATTTGGAATTTTTTATTGCTAAATATTATTGTGACACTTTTGTCTCAAGTGATAAATTTGTGGCTTCTGATATTGCAAGCGGTTTTTTATGCATGAATTTTTAAAACCGTTGCCTGAGACGTTGATGATTGCAGTGGTCCATGCTTCATTGAATATATCGACACAATGTTGCCGTCAATTAGTCGTGATTATGAAGGACCAGTACGTGTTATCATTGCCGATAAGTACAGTGTAAGTGCATTTCTGCATATTATTCATCTTTTTTCATATTGTTTTGATGAGTTAAAATTCAAGAGTTATCAGAACCATCAGAGTTTGATCATCAAAACTCAGGAATTTATCAGTCACTATTTCAGGATATGGGTACCATAATTATTGGAAAAATAGAATCCGGTGTTGTAGTTAAAGGCCAAACGTTAACAGTTATGCCAAATAGGGTTAGTTTATTTAACGAAAATGATAATGCGTTTCGTTTGTAACATTCGAGCGGCGCCATATTTTTTTGTTCCGAAAAAAGGAACTTTAAAGAATTTCACGATTAGATATCGATGAAAACTTTTAGACGAACATTCAAGTAATTCAATTGTGGTCAGATGACGTAGAAGTTGACAAAATAGTTTCTGGTGATAACGTAAAGTTGAAGTTGAAAGGGATCGAAGATAACGACATTTTGCCTGGTTTTGTGCTATGTTCTGCGGATGCGCTATGTCATGTGGGGAGAGTTTTTGATGCTGAAGTAAGATTTTCCTTCATTTTCCGATTTCTCAGTAATGAATTTTTTCCGAGTTCTGTGAACTGTTTTTCTCATTCTTCGTAAGAGAAGCGTAAGCGTCTAAACAGATGGTACTTCCTTTGTTTTTTAGGTAGTTATTTTGGATCATAAATCAATAATCGCGTCTGGTTATTCTTGTGTGCTACACATCCAGTCAGCAACTGAAGAAGTCATCGTAAAGGTTGGTTTCGTTGTTATAGCGCTTTAAGCTATTTGAGAATTATCATGCTAAGGAAAGCTGAGAAATTTTTGTCATATGTGACAAAACGTTTAAAATTTGACTGATTATTCAAAGTCTTATGCTGCTATTTTCTTTCGAAAATGACTATATGAAGCATGTTTATTATGCAGCTGAGTTTACATGGGGGAGTACTAAATGAGCTGACATTTAGGTCTTTGAAAATCAGGATTATGTCTGGCTAAAAAGTGCACCTTTTATGCGATATCGTCAATTTCTTAACTATTTGGCAGAAGAGCAGTTTATGTTGTGGAATGAGCTTCTCAGGAGGAATTGGTACAGCCTTTCTACATTCCCCTTGATAACTTCTCTGGTATTCCATCTTATTTGTAGGCAGTAATTTGTACAATTGACAAGAAAACAGGAAATAAGGTGAGAGCACGATTTGTGAAGCAAGATGAAAAGTGTATAATGCGGTTGGAAAGTTCGGAATCATTTTGTCTTGAAGCATTCAAAAACTTCCCGCAAATGGGACGTTTCACACTACGCGATGAAGGCAAAACAATAGCTATTGGCAAGGTGCTCAAGGTTGTGGAATGACCGCATCGACATTCAGTACATTCTTTCGGTTTTTAGTGTTGATTTATTTATCTTCATATGATGGGGAAACCTTTAGGAATATTTTTTGTTTTCAATACAATAATGGTAGTAATGGACACAAAACCTTCATTAGAGGAATTAGTGTTTTAACTTGATTGTAACTCCTCATTTGATTATCTCTCCAGAGTATCCAGTCTTAGATACTCCAGAGAGGCAATTGGAAGCAGTGCTGCAATGCTTATTACCTCTTCGAAGTGATGAGGTTAAATATATGGGAAGTTCATCTGTTGCACTGCTTTTCATTATTCATAGTTATATCATCTTTGTTTCCACTAGCTATTGTTTGTTCAGCAGTGTTCTTGTAAAATTTAAGCTCAAGCACTAATTTTGTATATCTTTAATAAGTCATTTTGTCCTCCAGCTTCCTGAGCCTGGGCCTATCATATTTTTGAAATATATAAGCGAGTTGTAAACTAAGCCTCAATGTGAATTTTTGTAAATTCTTAATGAATTCCGCGAATTCATTGGTCTTTACAATGCCATCTTTTAAAATACAAGATAGCGATATGAATTACGATCCGGTCTTGAAAAATTGTACTGCATCTCATCGCTTTTGATAGATAAGTGGAGGAGATTGTAAATAGTTTCAGTTGCGAATACTAATGACGGAACTTGTTAAGAATGCAGTGCTACAACTACTAAGATAATGAATTGCCAATGAAGACGAGAAAATTCAAAGAGCTCCTTTTCATTAATTGTTAATTGTTCTTTTTGTTACATCCACATTTCTTTACACAGTCTCACTTTGCTAATGAAGGATTTTTTTCTCATTAAAGGAATTCCATGGAGAAAAAGATTTATTCAGTGTGGGGAGAATTTTACGCTGGCCTGTAAATGAAAAGGGCCTAGACTTTGCGAGTGACAGTTTGCTTAGACACTAAGTTCCCTTGCCAAGTGGATATGGATAATTTCGTATCGTGTGGGAGTACCCGCTCTACATCACTTATGCGAAATCGAACACTGGCAAATATGTTTTGATAGCAGTATACCGCAAACACTAAATGAAACGAATCTGCTACGGAAAATTTGCGAAACTTCTGAGAGGTTGTACACTGTTAAGCAGTAACCGTAGATGAAGAAACCTCGGGACTTTCGGCCTTCGCAGATACTGATTCTTTCTTCTTCTTCATTCGTTTTTCAATCTGAAAAGAGGACAAATAACGCTGAAGTCGAGATAAAAGCATGCCTTTAAATTTGAATTTGGAGAGGATAAAGGTACTCACTTTCTCGATTTCTTGTTCTGTTGGGATCGGCAAAAATGGACTAATATTGAGTGCAAAGTGAGCATCACCAGGTATAACCATAAGTAATGCGCGGTTAATGAATGGTCCTTAAAGAACGGGTTAATATATATACGAGAGATGAGTAATGCAGCTGAGGAGGAGTATCGTTATTGAAAGATTGGATTGGATACAATTATGTGTCAACCGATACTCGTACTTTCATGACTTTATCTGACTGCAAGTTCTTCCAAGTGGGAAATATTGAATTGCAATCAAGTTGGAAACATCACTTAAAATAGCGCTTGCCTAAAGCAGGGTTTCGATGTTTACATAAAGCTCCAATAACGGCTGCAATATTTGCTTCCAGTTCTTCATCATCCATTGTTAACTGAAATTAATGTGTAGCTACATAAAATTCACCTTCCATTAGAAATTTATGTTTAAAAAGTCAAAATTAATTCATTTTATTATTTTAAAAGTTGTCCTCAATAGATGCCATTCGAAATCACTTTGAAGTTCAATAGTGCCGAGCAAATGTGTCATACAACATTTTACTTACTCGTCCTATGACAGTATCACAAAGACCCCAAATAGGCATGATTGGATCACCTCGAATCGTTAATTTTACACCATTCTTAAATTTGCTGATGATTTCTTGGAAGTTATCACCAAGACCACCTTAAAAAAATGTTTTGTACAAGAAAAGTCAAGCAGTAAAAAGTTATGTCATATCAGGAGAAATAAATAGTTATTAGTTACCATGACATACATACAGCATGAATGCTCCGACTCCTGTAACAGGAGTGTATGTAGCCGCTAAAAGAAGTAGAACTGATAAAAATAAAGCCCTATGATTGACAGCAAAGAATTTCAACTCCAAACAGGATCACATACCATTGATTTTATTTGGAAAACGTGATCTTAAAATTCCTCGTAAGGGAAGAATACTGGAAGCCATGTCAACGTGTGCAACGCAAAAGTCATAGTCATCAATTCGAAACATCCCTTTAATTATCTGAAATCCATCAGTTTTAAAGTAAACAGCTTGGGCGTTTAACTTCAGTAAAAAAAATTGTCAGAAAATTAAAATTAATAAAAATGTAAGCAAATTCTTTCTTAGGAGAGATACACTAGACTGTACTCTGGCACATAAGAATATTAGCACACAGCGCTAATGGACAAATAAATAAATTCATACGAAAGAAATTCGAATTCAAATTTTCCTTGTCTTCAATTTTTAACTAGCGATTTTAGGTTTTGTTGATCCAACCATTTAAAATTATCCCCTTTGTATTATTCCTGCAGCAATTGCAACCAACATTATACTTTTATTCTCAAACCTTTTTAATCATATCAGGACCGAGTGCGATTTCGGCACCAGCCTCAATGGCCGCGTCTCGATTATGCTGCTCATACGCAAATGCCAATATTGTCCTTTTCTCGTTATGCTTGAATGGATGAGGGATTGGTACCAACTCTTCAGAATCAACTACCATTTTGGTCTTGAAAAAAAAAAGTTTGAGATACTACTCGAAATGAGAAAAAGCGATAAAGTTATGGTAAAATATGAACACTCAGCATTCAATACGAACCTTTTTTTCTGTTGTCATATTAAGTTCCATACGCAGACGTATACGCGCATTCGGATTGTTGTAAATGGACGGTTGCTGCATTTCCCTGTCAATTTATCAAAAAATTAATTTAACTTTAAAAGAAACTGGCATTGTGAATATTTTTTCAAGCCATTATAAAGTTATATTCCAGAAAGATTACATATCAATATCTTGGAAAGGCAAATACAGGCAAAACAAGTGGCAAAAAGGCTCCACAACATCACTATAATATCCACCCCATCAATGAAATTAAATCAGTAAAAGTGAGTCACCGCCTTCCACTCTTTAATTCTAATTATCTAACAGTATATGGAAGTTTTTACTAAATTATAGACAATTTAAAACTTAATCACAATAATGAATAAATGGTAAAGAATAAAAAATTAATGAACTATGAATAAAGTGAGCTGATGAGACAATATTATTTTTACAACCTGTGCATTTGCAGTGCTTCCGAAACTGAATAATATTGAGTTTTGTAGGCACTTCGTATGAAAATATTTGTGGTCGGTTTATCCGGCAAATGTGCTTCTTTAGCTGGATTGAAGCGACCAGGAAATTGCTCAGAAATTGAAACCCTGATAAGAAAAACCAAATATAGCTTTTCTATAACATAATATCACTTCACTTCCTTCTATTCGGATTTAACTGCTTTCTAAAAAGTGATCTCTAAGTATACACTCACATGTGTTTCATTCGTGAGATTTGGATCCTTTGCATAAAGGTATATTTTTTCCGTTCAGCTTCTTTTGCTTCACGTTTCAACCGCCTTTCCTGGCGTTCCTGCTTGGTAAGTGCACGTTTCAGATTACGCTTACGTCCTATAAATAGAAATAAGACGAAGAGCTATTGAAATCGACAGCAATCAATGTGCAAGCGAATTGCTATGATCGTCACTATCATTAAACACCACAGCTTAAGAAAAGCTATCCTTATCAATTTTCAAAATCTTCCATTAATAATAAAAAGATATGATGAGCTCGAAAAAACAGGTCAGGTAAATTTGAGTATATGCTCCACTTTGAAAAAAATTCAAATTCCAATAACTTCCGAATTCGGATCCCTCTCCTTGTACTTCTAAAAAATATCTTCCTTTTTTGCTGAATCATCTAAAACTATAATAATTCACTTACCTCGACATTGTTGTGAGTTATAGATCGATGGAAATAGCAAGCAGAATTCCGGATGTCCCATTACTGTCCTATTAGTGTTGCATGCAGCCCATATCATTCTATTACATATCGATGAAATCATAGCTTACGCAACAGCACACCTGAAATTATATCGATTTTAGAAATCTTTCGAACTGATTCTTTCTTATGTCTTTTCATCACGTATAACTTAGAATAATGCTCCTACAAATTGCAATTTACCAATTAGAAAAGCAATGAAAATCAATATTAATCTTGAAGATAGTCCATATTAATCTTGAAGATCGAGGTAATCTTGAAGATATATTTAATAAAACACAGAATGGTTTGGAATTTTCATATTCTTCCCAGAAATAACAGTCATGTATAAAATTCACTTAGAGTTCCCAACCCCAGTTTCATTTCTTTCAAATTTTTTATGAAACTAAAGAATCCTTGTATTATCTAGTTTTGTCAGAACCTTGACAATCATAACTTGCTGCATTCAGAACTTTCTTTGAAAAGAAATTATCACAAGTATAATTATAAAACTAAGCGCATATCCGATGTCACTAACATCTTTACCTTGTAGACCATTCACATGTCACATTTTTACCGATGCTTCATGCAGCATTTAGCGCATTTAATAGCTCAATTTTGGAGATCGACATACGTCTGTTGACTCACAGTAACAATCGATACTGTTTTTAAATCAAAAGTATTTTTATGCTAGAAATTAATTTCATTCAAATGTTTTATTAATGGAAATGGTCAACGATATGAATAAGACATACACAACTTCCAACAAAGAAACAAAAAATGACAGGAATGGTAACGACTTATCTGATACAGAAAGGCATACTCGTCGTAAAAATAGTCTATCCTTAATTTAAATACTAATTACAAGATATTAAAGATTAAAGCATTCGAAAAAATTATGGATGAGAGTCGTTACTTCCTCAGTCCAGCTGCAATAAGATTAAAAATTTATTTTATTAATTTTTTCCATTAAAGAATCATAAAATTATTTAAAAACGTGCTTTATAAGATAGCACAGCTCTTTTAGATCTTTTATTGCTGATTTGTCTTGCCATTATTATTATTGAAACATTCTTGTGTTTTTTTCATTCTCTTTTCGACAGAACCCGATGTTTCAGAAATGCAACTTGCGCAGTCACTTAAGCTAAAATCAGCATAATGTGGCAATACGTAAAACGGATAGACGTAAATGCATGAACTGGTTCCTATTTAATCTATATGTCCGGAAAAAAAACTGATAAAAAAAGTCATTCTTAATCGAATACGGTATGAAATGGAGATGACAATATGACGAGATCCCCATACTTCTTCATCAGTTTCCAAAAAAATATATCTTTCAAAATTTCACATCTCAATTCTTGTTCGATAATTTCGAATAAATGATGGATTACATACAATGTCACTCTATCACTAGAACTAGAAACAGACAAGTCAGAGAATAAGTGGGAAGATTTGTCAAATTTATTTTCCTTAGAAAAATGTTCTAATTTAAGAAATTTTAAGAGAAATGCGAACGTCTAAAATTTTCGAAATCAATCCTGAATTTATGACCTAAATTTGGCATGTTTTTTTCATGATGTGAATGAAAAATATGAAAAATCGGAACAGCTATACCATAGAATAGTTCATTCCAAAGCACAATAAAGAGATAATAAATTCTAAGAATGCGACATTCGAATGCATCATATGAATAAAAAAGCATGAAGTGGTAGCTTTCATAACGAAAGGCTCTAAATTTAAAAAATATTAAATTCAAGGCCTGCAATCAATCATAAGACAGCTCAAAGACAACGATAACACTGGCAGGATGAATTTTGCGTAAGTTGCAGGAAGAATATGCATTCAATCCGCTGCAACTTTCGTTGAAAAATGGAGAGGTAAAGAATGCGTTATTAAACTTCAACAATAAAATGGTGATGATTCAGGTCGTAACATGTCTCAGATATTCCAAGACTCTACTGAAGTTCATGTGCGATACTTTAGGCTTATAAAAGTTACGCTAGTCTATTTTAAATGAATCGAAACTAATCAAAAACTAATCTAAACAACCTAACCAACCGAACAACTTTACGCTAGTTTTATCCAGGAAATTCTGAGTACTGCTAGCATAAGTAAATACCTCAAGTTCTCAAACTGACCTAAAATAAAACGAAAAAAACTCACCGTGAAATAGGTTATACCATCAAGTCCGTTCTGCAACATGCGCTAATTTGGATCACAATCAAACAAGAAATTCGGAAAGCATATATTTTCGTCTTAAAAGCTCAAAATCACCATGGAACAAAGACAAAGAAAAGTCACAGCTCTTTTTCTTTGAAACAAAAACAAAGGGGAAAGAAAGTTGGGATAGAATGAAAGGATGAAAGATGGGATACACTGAAAGCGAAATGAACATACTGCCTTGAATCAGAGGAAAACCCGGGAAAAGTACAATCTTTTTTATCAAAATAAGCCTAAAAGAAAGAAAACGTCAAGAATGCTATTATTAGCAAAAAACAAAAGCAACGTTATCGTATAGTACGTCATGTGTTTTGATGATATCGGATTATGGGTGGATGGGAGTACAGTGGGGAAGGATAAAGATCCACTATGGATTACTAGAGAGTAATGGATAAATCACACATTTAACAAATGGTATTTTTTTGGTCATTGTCATCTAAGTCTTGGAAATCATAATAAAAATATCTTGTCGTTATTCTTCTTTGGTAGATCTCTCTCTTCGTCCTTTATCCAAAAGTCATCCTTTTTTCGCCTCCACTACTTTCGCATCAAAACACATGGAAATTTGTGTTATCACCAGGATTCCACGTTATCTCTCCTTTATATTGCAAACTTAAAGTACTTCAGATTAATTTACCCGTTTCAAGTACGTAGCAAGAAGTGCAGTAAAACGAAAAAACATATATATGAGGTTCCTCAGGACTTTCATTGGTGGGAATGAGAAAGCATATGGTGTGCAAAATTCAGCATTGTAGTTACCGACAAAATTTTTCTTACATTCCAAAAGTCTGCCGTGATATTTAAGGTCGTAAATCTAAATGTCACTAACAATTTAACAAACTAGATTCTTAAACAAAGTTACTTGATGGATAACATAATGAACTACTTCTGAATGATCTATATAAGATCCATATTTGATCACCGTATCAGCAAAAATGACGCATAAAGCTAATTGGGACCTAAATTTCCACGATTGCTTTATTTGTAAGGACACCAGGCTATTACGGAGTGATCGGTAAACCAATTAGTGATTTGAAAGATCCAAATTAATAAATCAGTAAAATAAATCAGTAATAGTAACAAAATAAGTAATTAGAAGTAAGGAGTGCAATGATGAATGACTGGGAAAAAGTAACAGAAGGAGTAATTTACAGCACTATACAACATCCCTGATTCTGTTTGATGCGCGCATTTTGAACATAATTCATTTCGCGTACAATTTCGGCGAATACAGTATTCACATTATGTGCACTCTTTGCTGAGCATTCTGTGAATGGACATGACCAGTACTCCGCTAAGCCAAGACCATCTTCTGTTCGCACCTAAAGAGCAAGCGGAATCGATAAATGAGGAAACATGGAATGTATAAGGTAACAGGAATTTTATACCGTTCCATCTAATTTTAGCACAAAAAAAAGAACATGCAAAAAGCAAGTAAATTTGTGTGGAAGAGTGTATACTGAATTGACGAAAAAGTTGTGCGCAAATTATTCTGCATTTCGGGATTAAATCACAAACATTATTTATTTAAATTCATATCCAACTAATTTAAATTCTTGTTTAAATTCATATCCAATTCATGGGAAAAAAATTTACCTGCCGCTGATGAATTAGATCACATTTGTTACCAACCAACAGGATAGGCACTTGATCGGTACCCTAAAACTAATTTTTCAAATCATTTCGTTCATTGTTGTTACTTCGCTTTTTCTATATTTCATTATTGACGATGTATAAGGTAAATACCCCTAATATTCCCAACGTTTCAAAACTTTTTTTCGGTTATCTTGTTAAGATTAGAGTAGCAGTAATGTCGAAAAAATTCGATCAATGGCTGGAATTCAACTAGAAAAAACTGCTAAGATGATCGATTAATGCCAAGCTACACTACGCTGAGAATCTTTTGACTAAGATTAATTCTTATGCTTTGGTCTTAGTTAGTTTAAAGATTCACCTTAACCCGAACAATCTGTTCACGCATCGTCTTGATATCGTGAAATGTTTGTTGACTTGTTATTGAGTAAACCACCACAAAACCTTGTCCATTTTTGATATACAAGTCACGCATTGATGCGAACTGTTCTGTGCCGGCAGTATCCAGAATCTCCAGTACACATGGCTGACCATCTACCTGAAACTTTCATTTTTCATAATCAACTAAACATTGTTGGTTTTTAGTAATAATTTGTTGGCAACGATCAGCAAAGTCATGGACTATTGAAGCTTTATGCTGCATTTCAATTCCTAGTATATCTTTCCTGAATAATGAAAAGCTCTCCTTTACAACAATTTACGAGGCATTTAGTTTGATTTATTTGCGACTAGTTAATTATCTATGGATGAATGATATGAGTAGCAGTTCATATAGCAAAATGTTTCAAATTCTCATGTAGTGAACTTGACTTTTTACCCACGATATCCACGAGAGATCGGGATAAACCCATCAGTGCAACATAAGGACCAGAGAAAACGCAGCAGCCTAACTTCTTTCTTCTATTTTTATTTTCAGAAATTGAAGCGAGCACTGAGCGAACCTCAATTTCTTTACGATAAAAATCCTCAATTGTTGGATCATATTTTTCAATAAATGTATTCGAAACGAATTGAACGGTTAGAGCTGATTTACCAACACCTCCGCTTCCGAGTACCACTACCTGAAAAAGTCGCCATTCATATAAACTATTATAATGCTACTGTTGCATCTAAGAAATAAGTAGTTGACGACAAAATGCTATATCTTTCCTAAACTCATTAGAATGAATCGTTGCCATACCGTTAACAACTGACTTAATAGTTTTATTTACATCTTTTTCCATGACAAGTTTTGCAACTTTTTTCAATTTCAATTTAAAATTAGTGACAAAA